GTGTGCACCGCAGGCGCGTCGCTCTTTTGTTACCGTTCTCTCGCTCTCTCGTGGATTCTATCATTTACCGCAACCCAAGTATTTGAAATTGGTGCCCTTAATTTCGGGTACGGCAGGCTTTATTCATTTTATCTCATTCTCTAAGGATAGTAACATTGAAAATTTCCAATTAAGCGCGTTATTTTTAAACTGAAGTGATGCGGTTAATTTCAGACGTTATAAATAATTCACTTTTTTCACGATAACAAGTGACAAGCGAATGTATCGTAAACTCACTACTATTTTCTGCTCGCCGGAATAATATCCATGCATATGGGTGTGCCTAGATACCCGGATAATTCCGAGAGAGTCCAAAGTATCGTGAGTATCATTCGGGTATCGAATTACCTGGATTATGCTGTCAGCATTGCTTATTGAAACCTTTATCTTAGAAGTTTGCTTATCTTTTGATAGTTTAATCACTAAGGCTCGTAATTGGATAGATATAAAAATATCTCTAATAGCCTGACGAGCAATATGTAACTATCAAGCTTGGCCAATACCGGAAGTATCTGCGTCGTGAGAACTTTTGTCCGCACTCTCTCGATAAAAATGATCAAACTTCCCGAACATCGACGTGTTACAGGCCTCTACGTCGAATATCAAATCAGTCTATCTCGAGAAGAAGGGAGATTCACACATTTGATATTACGTGTTGCAGCAACTCGCACTCTCGCCTCGTAACAGTTTGCGCCGTCACGATGACGAGGTTCGAAGCCGGGGTTTCTTCAAGGCCGTAAAATGGGCCAGAGCAGAGGCCCTTCGCATAACACTCCATCGTTTATGTCGTCGCGAAGGTTCCTCCGCTCGCTGGCGTGCGTGCGTGCGTGCATGCATGCGTCTGTTCTGAGACGCACCGCCCGAAATAAGTCACGGAGCGTTTTTCAAGGATGCGCACGTTCTTACTCGCTCATTCGTTCCTTCAGTCTCACACCTCTCAGCTCTCGCTCCGCGTTCGCCTCATTTCGCCGCACTTTATACAATGTAATTAATATACAAATGTAAATTATAACGTGCGCTAACGAAATAATGCCCGGCTTCTCGCCCGCTTTTTTTTGTCCACAACGGCAAAGCAGTCGCGTTCTCGAGGGTGTTATTAACACGCTGCGCATGTAATCGAGCGGGTTAAAGAACCACCTCTCTCTCTCTTCCTCTCTTCGAGATGCATCCTCGTGCTCCGTGTGCAGCACGATGCGCACGAATTCCCGTTCCCCCATTTACATACCGCGCCGTGCCCCACACATGGCCCGACAGCTGCCTCGTTCGTTTTACCCCAGATTGTTCAGTGAACTTCGGGCTCACCGAAGCCGCCCTTCCCCACTGTGTTTTCCCCTTTCTGTCCTCCGTCTTTCTACCCTCTCTATTTCTCTACCCTTTCTCCCCCCGGTGCATTCGCACGCGCATAACAAAATCGCGAGCGGTGGCGGAGAGTTTACGGTGCGATGCGTCGCTGCACTTTGCGATGCGAATTTAAGTCTCGTCAACTCGCACGGATAACGCACGTGTCGCGCTTATTGTGGACGCGTTTGCCCGCGGCCTTCGTTAGACTTTTGTTCAGCCCGGACAGAGGAGACCTTACATCTTTTGCAGAGGTCTACTTCTTTCTTGAGAGGAGGACTGACCAATCTCGCCAAAATTGTTGTCGTTCTCGGCACCGGCTATGCGTCTTGTCTTGCTTCAGCAAGAATGCACAGTGGCAATTTTGCATAAAATATTACTCTCCAGCATTATAGATATATTACAAGGTTTTCTTGGTCAGCGATGTGAGTTTTTCCTAAGAGCGGAAATACGAAGAGTGAAAAGTTTTACATTCCCTTAGTTCGAGAAGTTGCAAGATCGTTAAAGTCGTCGAGTTCGCGTGAAAAACTTTTTTCGCCCTTCACGTTTCCGCTCTGAGGAACAAGTTACACGATCGCTAATCCGACTGTTATTATTTCACGATGCAATTACAAATATCAAGCACCATTTTCACGGTAAAACGAACACCAAACTTCAATAAAGTCTTAATATTACTCGTTAGTTTTTCTAATCGTTCACATCGTGTCTCTGTATACATACATATATTATCGGTGTCATGTACGCTATATCATTCCCTACATGAAAAATTATACGATTTTCAGCCTTATACATAACCCTAATAAGTTTTAAAACGAGATTGTGGACCAAGGCTTAGGTTAAAAATCGCATGAGTAACTGTAATTATAATAGTAGGGTTATGATGGCTCTAATTATAATTATACGGTTAAATAAATATGGCTGAAAATAATTATATGGTTATTATATTCGATCTTGTGTGTTAATGTATAAGGCGGAAAATCGTGTAATTTCTTATTTAGAGAATGATACAGCATACTTGACATCAACCGTACATAATGACACGATTATTCAGCATCTTTGCTAATCTAGCACTTCCACCACAAAAAAAAGTGGAAGTAGCATTTATATAGGAACCAAGTGCCTTTTATGTGATAAAACACGATCTATTCCCGATTTTTCTGCCCAAATGATTTGGCAGAAAATTGCGAAATAAATAAAGGTTGTTCAGCCAATTTATCATATTGACAGACTAACATATCGTGTTATTTTATACGTATTTATTTTATACGTATCGCATTATTTTATATCCAGACGCAATCGAAACGATTAGAAGGACCAGTGAAGTTCAGTCTGGCGAATGTTAAGGTTCATTGAAGCTTATAATATGCGCAAACAAGAGGCTTGTTTTTCTTGTTAAGCACAAACTTGCTTTCTTTTCCCTTCAACGCCAGGTTATAGACTCGTTTTGCTCCGAAGGCAAAAAGTGCAATCTAGTTGAGCTGAAAAGAACAGACCCGAAGACGTGTCTCGCCTCTTGCCCGCCGCGCCTCCTCCGCCCGTACTCGCATCTGATCGCATTGTCGTCCATCGCGTAATAAACAGTCGAGGGCGCATCGTTGCGCGAAATTGCGATTCGCCCACTGGTACATAACGCCCGTCTCCTGTTATCGTCGCAACGGTGCTGGCCGGCCGTTTAAGAACCGCTCGTTCAACGAGGCGTAACTTCGTATTAGCACACACAACCACCGCATGCAGATTCCCACGAGAGATATGTACGTTCGCGCACAGCCGAGAACACCTTTCGTTTGTCCTGACGCGCATCCCGTTGCTCCGCGTTTCCCTATCGAAAGATTCGCCGGGAGAGATGTTATTGTAGTCCCGGTGACTCCGTCAGCGATCGGATGAGATCGATCCGAGAATCGATACCGATTCCGAGATCGGGAGAAATAGAGAGAAAGGGGGGGGGGAGAAATCCATGAACTGTGGAAAGTTTCCTCGACCACGACGGCTCGTTAAAGTACACCGCGACGACCGGCTGTTTACGTTTAATGGAACGCGCCTCAAACCTAATTCAATCCTGGCCTTTTTACGAGCCTCGAACGTGCGTCGACCCTGTATCGAAGCTTCCGAAGTTTGCTCGATACCATATGTGCACTCTCGGCTGAACTCTCAATGCACCACTCATAGTCGCGGCGGGTGAGCGGGGGCGGTCGGTTATTTCCAGACAAACCCTTGAAAAAGGAGCACCACCACCCCTTTCTCTCTCTCTCTCTCTCTATCGCTCTTTCTGACTCACCGACTCGTCTCGAAGCTAAATGTCTTGAAATTGATAAATGCCTGGTAAAACTCGCGGTGCGAGCAGACAATTTTCGTGCGCGGTCCTTACCGGTGATTTTCCGGATCGGAGCTCAAATGCAAGAAGGAGAAAGTTTAGAAACTGAGGAAAACGCAATTTGGACGGGTGCATTTTGTTCGGGTTCGGCCGAAGAGATACCCGGCCCGATAACACACCACCGTGGGGTGGGGGCGAGACTCCGCAAAACGTTGCGCATTGCGTCTTACTCCACGCAGCGGCGGCAGCTATACCATGGTGCAGCCGTCCGTCGCGTCGTTGGCTGCACGTCGACTCCCTTCTCTTCACTGCAGTTTGCAGGTGGTCAACCTCGAGCTACCTCCGAGGACGAACGTTGCATGGCTATATCGCGAAGAGGGCACATGCATACGATCGGTTTCGAAATCCTCTCGGTCGGCGACGGAGACACGCACATCTAGCTCTGAGAAATATTTCAAAGAGAGACATTTTCATATTATGTAACTGTAAATTATTTGCTATATAATTGTAATTAATTGTTATATGTAATATGCTACATAACGTAGAGATAATATAGAGCCAGAGCACTCTCGCAGACTTGTTTACTTACTAGATTAGTTTGATAGTTAGCTTTTTTTAAAATAGTAACTTTATCTGCACTTAATCTTATCTGCACTCCTGTGAAAGTTTATTTTTTCCCTGAAGCCTTTATTCTCATTTTACTCGTCGCTTTTTAATTGTGAATACGTTCGTTTATGAATGGGAAAAAGCAATGAGTATAAAAGTTGCGACATTAGAGCGGCTAAGTTAATTTGTTTGTGAGGAATAACGTCTCACCATGTCCTTATCATAAATCATCTTCTATCGTGAATCATAAATTAGTACGAGTCGTAATTTTACGCGATTACATGTGTTCCACGTACGACCGGCTGATAACTGAGTCATATCGCGAGCACGTGCGTAAACGCGAGCGTAATTTAAGGTGCTCCAAAAAGGTCGAGAAACGAGTGGAAAGAATGCGAACGAACGAACGAACGAGCGGGTGAACGAAGGAACGGCCGGATGCCGAAGTGCCGAGTCACATGCGCGTAAACCGACACGTGCACCACCCTCCGTTCCCGGATCTTCCATGCTCCGACGGTCTCGGGGCACACCGGTGTCACCCGTGGTGCCTTTCCTCGTCGTACTTTCGCATTAAACTATGGTTTAATTGGAGACGCGCGGCGAACGCGAACCGGGGCGGTGTAAGACGCGATAACCTAGATTAGACTTTCTTGAGACCGTCTCCGTGAGATCATCTTGATGTAGCAGAGAACATTTTTCTCTTTTACAGAGCCGCTTCTGGAGCCACGCTTCATCACCCAGCCGGTCAACAGCGGCAATATACTCAGCGAGAATCGCACCAAGTTTCTACAATGCCAAGCGAGAGGTGAGACACACGAACATTCAATCGACATCCCAAGTAGCGTTCAATCCTGGCATCGGTCCCACTTCGACCGCCGTCGAGCAGAGGAAGCCTCCCTCATCACCGAGAGCATTCACTCCTATAGACCTATTCTGTAATTTTTTCACGACAGTGTTGTTATCGTAGAGTTTTATTGTATCTGAATATGCCTTTAAAACCTTCATTTAAAGTAAATTTTAGGTTTTATATAACTTTTTTGTTCCCCACAATTCAAGTTTTGCTCTTTATCGAACTTTACTATAAGAGCAGTGTTTTTAATCTCTTAGAGAAATGGTATAATAGATAAGAGATAAGAAATCTAAGATATAACAGATAATAGATAAGAGATCTAAGAGAAATGATATAATAGATAAACAATTTAATTTTTAACGTACAAATTATTTAGAGATGACACTTTTCACTCACCTCTTTTACTTCTTTTAAAACATTTTTTTTTTAAACTGTCTCACGATCTTCTTAGTCTTTTGAGAATAAAACTCACTATTTTTTATTTACTTGACTAGTTAAATCTCTCCCATGTCTATATATGTTAGGAAAACTGCGCATCAACGAGGTAACGACAACGACACTGTCGGTAAAGTTACAGAATAGAATTACTGGAGCGAAATTTAGTTCCACATGTGTGCTAATTTTTCGTCCCGATCTCGATCTTCTCGCTCACCGTTCGGCTGGAAATCGCATTCAATCGACGCGAGATTAGAGCGACAAACGAGCGCATTAGTTGCGATTAAATTCTGCGATATCTGTGCCGATCTTTTCGGTGTTGTTATATGAGGGTGCAGCTGGATAGGAGTCCTGTTTCGATTGTTCGCGATGGTGCTGGTGATTCGACGGTGATGGTGGTGGTGGTGGAAGGACCACAATAGCGAGGATAAGGTTCGCAATGCTCCATTGTCCTGCTGAAGTATCGGGTAACGAGCGGGTGAGACGCCGACCAGATGAAGCCTTACCAATATTCTTCACCACCACCATTTCCCCACCATTCCCCACCATGCGTAATTCGATTGTATGACCCTGTACTAATAGTATTAGATAGCTCGCAAACTGTAGTTAGCGTCGCCCGTGACTTTGCGTGACGAAAACTTACGGTAAATCGTTCAGCTCCGTAAAATAATTTCTCGCGATATCGAATGCCTTCGGCTAATTTTCTCTCGCGCGCGTTATGCACACTCGTAAAATTTCTCCTCGAGATTTCCATCGGTAATTAATCCTTTCCAAATAAATAATTAATGTTGCATATATTGATTGTATCCGTGTTGCGAAAGATACTGCTTCAGCCAGAAATCAAAATTTGATCAAAATTATCCGTATAGTTCCTCTCTTTCTCTCTTCTATATCAGAAAAATGAGCATCAACAGCACGCTTCGTTTCCACAGGCAATCCTCAACCAAAGTACAGGTGGTTCAAGGACTGGAAGCCGCTCAGCGACAAGCTGACACCAGGTTCTTACTTCCGGATTCAGAATACACGACGAAAGGACACCGGTGTTTATCATTGTGTCGCTACCAACGACGTAGGCTCGATATTCAGTGACCGTATCAGCTTCTCCGTAGCCTGTAAGCATACCTTACAATCGTCAGCCTCACCTGTGCAAACCAATAGCGCGTAATGCGAATTATATACGTGTTATTCGAGCGATTCCACATGACGGATTGTATTTATAATTGGTCATCGTCTGATGAACCCATAATTGCATGAATCTCTGTAAATTATCCAGGCTTCGTAATCACCACCGACCACGTATGGTCGATCGTTTGTGATGATCATAGAAATTCCTGCGACTGTGATTACTCGTCGAATAACAAGTCGATACATCTCGATTATCGGTGGAGCTGAATCGAGTTCAATTTGCAAAGAACTAATGAAAGACTTTCGAGCCGTAATATACCGATCATTCGTAGACTGCTAATCACTGTTAGTACATCACGACAATCTCGACTGCGTCTCTTGCAGCGAATAATGTGTACACTGAGACTTTTCTCGCGCAGATATGGGAAAGTTTGATGACCTCACGGATAGGATAGTGACGGTCGAGTATGGTCACGCCGCGATATTGGAGCTGCCGCCGATCGAGAGCAACCCCAGCCCCGGGGTAACGTGGTTCTCTTCAGACTCGACGGAACTGTACGGCATAAAGTACGCCACGACTGAGCACAAGCTGTACATATTGGACGCCGCGAAGAGCGATGAGGGTTCCTACAGGTTCGCATCTCGATCGAGGACGTCCCTCATTGGTGTAATTTTGCACCGAACGACGCAACCGTTGACACCTTGACTGCCATGGTGGTCATCATGTTTGTTTACAATCTTGATTAATTTGAATCTGAGCCGAACATTGAAATACTCACTGGAGATCACCGTGACAGTCAATGTGTCGAATCGAAACCATCCAATCGAATTCGCCGAAGCTCACGTGTACCCTTCGCCGCCGTCTGTTGTGCAGAGCGAGAGCTTTCAACACGCAGTTGGGCAAGGAGGAGAACAGCCCTTTCTTCAAGCTGCAGGTCACCGGCGATCCGAATGCGGAGGTGGCCCCCAGCATAATCGTCAAGCCTCAGAACACGCTGATAATCAAGGACCAGAATGCCGCGCACATCTATTGCATCGCTAATGCCAGGTAATCGGGAGTCGCCAACGGCCGTCGCTTTGTCTCTCAATTTGGAACAATCGGCGGCGACGTGTGTTTCAGATCGCTTCACGAGCTGCGGATTCTGTGGATGAAGGACGGCATACCGATCGAGAACTCCCGGGTGACGTACAGCTTCAATGACTCGTGGAACCGGACGCTCATGTTGATCTCCGCGAACATGACTTACACGGGAACGTATTCCTGTCATGTGGACCTGAAGAGCGGCGGCTACCCGATTTTGAACGCGAGCGCCGAGGTCGTTGTTTACGGTATGTGTACTTCAGTCGTATCGTACACGGTGAGAGAGGCTGATCGAATTAACGTGGCAATGAACAAACCGAGTGCGTCTTCGTTTGAAGGAAACAGAATTTGGAATTCTTACGAACTAAATTCGATTCTCACTAAATCCTCCGTTGACAGCCTGCATATTTTCTCTCCAGACAAACCGACGTTCAACACGGAGTTGAAGAAAGAGACTCTGAGCGATTACGGATCCACGGTGACGATATCGTGCGACGTTGACGGCACGCCGGTACCGAAGATCACTTGGTTCCGCAATGCCGAGCCGGTGGACAATTTGCTGGAAAACAGGTGCATCTCCCGACGAATGTTTGCTTTAACACTCATAAGCATCGCTCTCTCACAGCGCGTCATGTTTTACAGATACGCGATGGAGGAGGACGGTTCGCTGACGATCAAAAAATTGTCTATGGATGACTCGGGGATGTTTCAGTGCCTCGCGTCCAATGAGGCCGGCGAAGCGTCCAGTTACACGTGGTTACGGGCGAAAAGTGAGTGGATACTCGCGTCGGATGATCGCGAAAGCTATATAAATCTACTGTCGAAGCTGTACGGAGATCGTTCGCAAAATGTGCGCTCGAGATTCCCCGGAAATATACTCGAAATTCCGCTCGAATTCGGCCGGTTCTCTCGATAGATGCGAGAGAAAGTCAGGCGGCGAGGTCGTCGAGTCGCGGGGAACGTTCTCGACGGAGATACTCGCCGAAGGAGACTCGGGCCACGTGTTCTGCGAACGCTCCGTACAACGATATGTCGCACGTGGAGTTAATATACAAATGACGTGTTTTTTGTGGGGCAGAAGGATTAGGGAGCGGATTGAAAGACAGAGTTGCCCGCCGGGCAGCTGGCTACAATATAGTCAGAGTTCGCCAGTCTGACCGCCGTTTTATGTTCTCTCAATATCCAGACCGTAAGGACCATGCTGTTCGCCTTGCGGCGAGATTTCTCTCTTCACCCTCTTTCTCTCCATCGTTCATTCGGCACTTGCTTGAAGACTGCGTACATTTACATCCCACTCTCACGATTTTCGCTTTTCTTAGTGAACGATTTTTGTATAGCTCTCTTTCTTTCTTTTCCTTTAACAAGGCAACACGCACCAGACATGCCGGACGTTGTCCCTTTAGATAGTTTATTGTATAATTTTGAAAGCTCGAGAAAAGTCGTTTTTTGTTTCTTTTTTCAACGATCGAAAAACTGGTTTTTAAAACTAGTTTATTACTTTTCCAATTGTGTAGTTGATGAAATTGTAATGGAACATTTGTCCAGTCGCGGGAAGAAAGGGCCGAGCTAACGTCTAAATGCAGTCAGCCATGCAAATATATGCCACACTCGGGGAAGTTGCGTTCGAGAAACTTCGTTGTTCCACCACATACACGTGACTGCATTTAGCCTCGAATTGGCTTCTCCCTTTTCTTACTCCGATCCGACATGTCACGGAGCCTCATTTCAATTCCTTTACCCGAGGAACTGATCTTGACGATTTATACCACGCAATTAGTGATTGCGTAATTAGATTTCGTAGTCTTGAAAGTGAAGTTAATTTGAGTAACTGAATGACTCACGCTACTCCTTGAAGAGACGCTGGACGAAACCCGGCAATCCGACGCATCCTGCGAATTGACGATCCTTAGCACGCGTCTGCGACGTCGCGAATACACCCACACGCACGTTCCTTCTACACATCATACACGCGTCCGACGGGATCCGTCGCGAGTTGTCACTTTTTCTTAGTCACCCTAGTTTGTGCGTAGTTATGCTGTATCGAGTATATGTGTATTCATGTTCGTGCTTGTCGTTTGCAATTCGAGCATAGAGAGAGACGTCGAGGCGTCAGCGGATTAGGGACTTTGGGTGTCCCCCCCTCCCCCTCCTCGAGTTGCAAGCGCGATGATTTATGTGTATCACGCCTTTTCATCTGCATGCGTTGTGAAAGAACGCCGGACCGGCGAACCCGACGGCGAAGACGGACTGACCGCGCCGATCTCCTCGCTCTTTTGCAGCGTCCGGCCCGATAATGGAGAACGGGCCGCAGAATCTGACGGTGCTGGACGGCAAGGACGCGACCTTCAGCTGCAACGCGGTGGCGGCGCCGAAACCGAACACCACGTGGTACTACAACGACACGATACCCGTGGAGATAGCCGGGCGGGTGCAGGTGTCGGGGAACGGCGACCTCCTGATCGCGGCGGTGAAGCCGGACGACGCCGGCAGGTACACCTGCGTACGCGCGAACGAGGCCGGCTCCGTGAACGGCACGGGCTACCTCACCGTCATGATCCGGACGCGAATCGTCGAGCCACCGGTCGACACGTCCGTCCTGCTCGGCCACACCGCCATGCTGCAGTGCAAGGTCGCGAACGACCCCAGCGCTTTGTACGACATGGCGTGGTTTCACAACGCCCAGGTGATAAACACGCAGGCGAGCCAGCGTGTGAAGATGCAGCACGACGGCACCCTGGAGATCTTGGCGGTGCGCGCCTCCGACGTGGGTGAGTACACCTGCTCCGTGGTGTCGCCCGGCGGCAACGAGACGCGCTCCGCCCGGCTGAGCGTGATCGAGCTGCCGTTCGCGCCTATCAACGTCGTGGCGGTGCGTGTCGAGCGCATCTCACCGCGCACGATCAACGTCACCTGGGTGCCCGGCTTCGACGGCAACAGCCCGACGAAGAAGTTCACCGTCGAGAAGCGGGAGGTGTTCGACTCGGGACCCGTGTCCGATTCGTTGGTCAACTGGGACGTCTTGCGCGACAACGTGTCCGCGGATACTCGTTGGGTGCTGCTGAGCAACCTGAAGGCGGCGACGGCCTATCAGTTCCGCGTCTATGCCGAGAACAGCGTCGGCAAGGGCATGTCGTCGGAGCCGAGCAACATCGTCGCACTGCCGCAGGAACCGCCCAATGGCCCACCCGTAGGCTTCGTCGGGTCCGCGCGCTCGTCCTCGGAGATCATCACGCAGTGGCAACTGCCGGCGGAGGAGTACCGGAACGGCCATATTCTCGGGTATATACTGAGGTACAGGCTTTTCGGCTACAGCGTTAATCCGTGGATGACGCAGAATATCACGAACGAGGCCCAGAGGAACTACCTCATCACCGATCTGATCACGTGGAAGGATTACGAGGTGCAGATAGCGGCGTACAACGACATGGGAGTGGGCGTGTTCACCGACGGCCTGAAGATAAAAACGAAGGAAGGAGGTAATCGGCCGTATTGTACACACCTGTTGACCCGGGACTTATAAGTACACATACTATGAGTTAGACCGTTATGATTCTATAATATTCGGATCTGATTGAGATACAATTAAGATCACAGTTTACACCGGAAAGTTCCCTTGTATATCCTACAGATGAGTGACAATTAATTTTGCAGTTCCGGAAGCACCCCCCACGAATGTGAGAGCGGAGGCGGTGAATTCGACGGCGGTGAAAGTTTGGTGGAAGCCGCCGAACCCTCAGAAGATCAACGGGATAAATCAGGGATACAAATTGCAGGCCTGGGTCGGCAACAATCTGACGGAGGCGGCCGAGTACAAGTCGATGACCGTGCCGCCGAGCCTGTTCGACCCACTCGCGGAGCAGAGCGCCGTCGTGAGCGGCCTGAGGAAGTACACTTCGTACAACATCACGGTGCTGTGCTTCACCGATCCGGGTGACGGCGAGAGGAGCCTGCCCGTCGAGATTCGCACCCGCGAAGACGTGCCCGACGAGGTGGAGAATCTGCAGTTCGACGAGATCAGCGACCGCGCGCTGACGGTCAAGTGGGCGCCGCCTAGAGAGACCAACGGGATACTGACGCACTATCAGCTCAAGTACATGATAAAGGAGGTCCCGGATTCGTTGCAGGTGAAGAACTTCACAGCGGACGTGTCGTCCACGAAGGTGGAGCACCTGCAGGCGCTGACCCACTACAAGTTCGAGGTGACCGCGTGGACGTCGGTGGGAGCCGGCAAGGCGAAGGTCGCGGTCATTCAGTCGGGCGTAGAGCCGGTGCTGCCGGAACCGCCTACGAAACTGGCCCTGTCCAACATCGACGCCTTCTCCGTCGTGCTGCAGTTCACGCCCGGCTTCGACGGCAACTCGTCCATCTCGAAGTGGACGGTTCAGGCGCAGACCGCGCGCAACTCCACGTGGTACGACATATACGAGGTGTCGGATCCCGACGCGTGCACCATCACCGTCGACGGGCTGACGCCGTTCATGGAGTACAAGCTCCGTCTGATCGCGAACAACGTGGTCGGCGCCTCGCAGCCGTCCGAGCCCACGAAGGAGTTCCAGACGATTCAGGCGCCGCCCTCTCACCCGCCGAAGAACGTGACGGCGCGCGCGATGAGCGCCACGGAGCTGCGCGTCCGGTGGATCCCGTTGCAGCAGATCGAGTGGTACGGCAACCCCCGTGGCTACAACATCACGTACACGGAGGTGCGGACGAACCGGTCGAAGAGCATCACCATCGAGGACCACACGGCGAACTCTTACATCCTGGAGAACATGGAGAAGTACGCCGATTATGAGATCGTGATGCAGGCGTTCAACGACGTCGGCACCTCCGCGACGAGCCCGAAGGCCGTTGAGCGGACTCGCGAGTCGGTCCCTTCCCAGGGACCGGTCAACGTCGAGGCGAACGCGACCTCGTCGACGACCATCGTGGTGCGGTGGGGCGACGTGCCGGTGGAACACCAGAACGGCCAGATCGACGGGTTCAAGGTGTACTACGGCGCGAATCCGAGATCGCCGTTCCAATACAAGAACATACCCAGCAACAGCACCTTCACCGCCACGCTGACCGAGCTGCGGAAATTCGTGCAGTACCACGTGCAGGTGCTGGCGTACACCAGACTCGGCGACGGGGCGCTCAGCGTGCCGCCCGTGCGAGTCCAGACCTTCGAGGACGCACCTGGGCCACCGTCCAACGTGTCCTTCCCCGACGTGAGCCTGACGACCGCCCGCATCATCTGGGACACTCCGGAGGACCCGAACGGCGAGATCCTCGCGTACAAGGTCGTGTTCCACCTGAACAACAGCCTGGACCGCCAGTTCTCGAAGGAGTTCCCCGCGTCGGACCGGACGTTCACCGCCACCAGCCTCGAGCAGGAGAGGTACTACATGTTCTCCGTGACGGCGCAGACGAGGCTGGGCTGGGGCAAGACCGCCTACGCCCTCGTCCTCACCACGAACAACCGGGAGCGGCCGCAGGCGCCGTCGACGCCGCGGGTGAGCAAGTCGCAGGTGCAGAGCCGGCAGATCACCTTCAGCTGGACCCCCGGCGGAGACGGCTTCGCGCCGCTGCGCTACTACACGGTGCAGCAGTCCGAGAACTCCGGCCCGTTCCAGACGATCCTCGAAAGAGTCGAGCCCGCCCTGACGTCCTACACGGCCGGCAATCTGAAGCCCTACACGTTCTATCAGTTCCGCATCCAAGCGACCAACGACATCGGCCCGTCCGAGTGGAGCACCGAGTCCGGCCAGGTGCAGACTCTGCCCGCGGCCCCGTCCAAGGGTGTCACCGGCATCAAGGTCGTGCCGATCACGACGTCCAGCGTCGAGGTCCACTGGAACATGATCGAGCAGACGTATTGGAGCGGCGACCACGAGACAGGCGGTTACCGCGTCGTCTACCAGCCGGTCTCGGACTTCCCGACGGCGCTGCCGACCACGCCGCACCAGGAGATCCTCGGGATCAGGCAGACCAAGATGGTCCTCAGCGACTTGACCGAGGATAGATACTACGAGATCATAGTGTTACCGTTTAACTCGGAGGGCGAAGGCCCGCCGAGTCCGCCGGTCACCGTTTACGTGGGCGAGGCGATCCCCACGGGGGAGCCTCAGCACCTGAAAGCCGAGTCCATCTCTTCCACGGAGGTCCGCTTGCGTTGGAAGCCGCCTCAGGCCAATATGCAAAATGGAGACCTGCTGGGCTACAAGATTTTCTATCTGGTGACCAACTCGCCTCAGCAGCTGGAGAAGAAGCAGGAGGAGGAGATCGAGGTCGCCTCGGCCTCCTCCCAAGCGTACAGTCTAGTCTTCCTCGACAAGTACACCGAATACCGTATACAAGTGTTGGCGTTCAACCCGGCCGGCGACGGGCCGCGATCACGGCCGATCACCGTCAGGACGAAGCAGGACGTCCCGGGGCCGCCGTATAATCTGCTGTTCACCGAGATCACCATGACGAGCCTGCGCGTCTCCTGGGAGCCGCCGAAGTCGCGCAACGGTCAGATCGTCGGCTACGTCGTCACGTACGAGACGGCCGAGCAGAACGATCGTTTCAGCAAGCAGGTGAAGCAGAAAGTGAACGAGACGAGCATGCTGATCCAGCCGTTGGAGGAGGAGGTGGCGTACACGTTCACGGTACGCGCGCAAACGATCGACTTCGGCCCGCCGATATCCGGGAACGTCACGACCGGTCCGCAGAAAGGCTCGCCGATGGCGCCCAGCAAACTCGCCGTCACTAAGACCGTCTCCAGCGTGGAGCTGCAGTGGACCAACGGGGCGTCCGGGAAAGGCCCCATATTGGGCTACTACATCGAGACGCGTCGCAAAGGCAAGCATCTCACTTCGTTCTTGTCGTCGTTGTTGCTGAGAGAAAAAAAAAATGAAAAATATTTATTCAGCGATTTATTCATACGTATACACATCGGAATGTCTATTATCTGGAAAAAAAAATGTCGGAAACTTGGAATTCTCGGGGAATTTTATTGAATATTAGGGAATTTTTAAATGTGCATTTTCGTCTGCAAGCTATATCATCGCTTATCGTCAAATATTTTTCATCTCTTCGATGTTTTTTCTCTCACAGTGTACTTCCATTACTGCGATTACTATTCACTATTAGCAAGGACAATGGTGTCGTACGAATTCATCAACAACCTTTCCGCCGAGCAGATCAGTTTTCTTCTCTCAGAACTACATTTCTCTGGAACTGCAATTATTATATTTTTTTTTTTTCTAGAACCACAAAATTGTCGTCCAAGAATTGAAGTTGTAGTTTTAAAGTTGAGAGTCCATGTTTCAGTCGGTATTTTATGATATGTATGTGGACTAAGAGGCTCGTATTGTGTAGTGAATTGACAACGATCGAAGTACCATACATTTCATTTGAATGTGAAAGAGACGTACTAATACTGTCTTTTTTCATAACCGATATAGCGATGGAAGAGTGGCAGCATTGTAAGTGTCAACGCACGTAATTATGCCGAATCCGTCAGTCGTTGCATTAGATGGTTTTTCGATAGTGAGATCCCCCCCTTCCCCCCTTGTTAGAGAGCGACAACGTTCTCTTCTTGCTTCTCTTACCCTGATACGAGCCCGTTGTATTTTATACCGTTATGTGTACACTTTTACACGCCGTGTCGGCGTTCTTGCATTAACGATCTCTGCATGATAGTTTTATAGCATGACGTCATAGTCAGAAACCCCACTTTAGACGTTCAGACGATAGTCTTTTTATCGGATATTAACTCCCTTATGTGATAACGCTGTAATATAATTCATCGCTGAGTATCCAAAGACCCCTTGTCCGGTTGATTGATACACAGAGTGTGTCCCGCTTCCACCGCATTATCTTTTAACTGCGGATTCTTCGACCGATCGGAATCTCCCTTGAGGGGAATCTCTGTGATTGCGCGGAATACAGGTTTTCGGGCAATTAACGCGATTGACGACGACGAGACGGCGACGATACTTCCGTTCCGAGACAGACTGATTAAGTCAATAGGTTAAAAGCAATTTGATTTTTGGAGAATAATTTGACCGTGTGTGTCGGAAGATTTGATATTACGGTACCCGAACAATCTTTATGAAAGGTATGAAGACCTCCCCTTTTCTCCGTCGATATTTCCGTTCTGAGACAGACTGGTCGAAAAATCAACAGGTTAAAAAGCAATTTGACTTGGAGAATAATTTGACTGTGTATCGGGGGACTTGATATTACGGTACCCGAGCAATTTTTTGTGAAAAGACGGTCTCTCCTTTTCTCTAAGAAGGACTCGCCGATTTATCGAAGTTCTAACGCGTTTCGCCCGCGATTCTAGATGACTCGCGCTGGCAGACGATAGTCCGCAGCAGCAACGGGCCGCTGATGGAGTACACCGTGTCTTATCAGAATTTACTGCCGTCCACTTCGTACCTATTCAGGGTGATATCATATAATCGTTACGGAATCAGTTACCCGGCATATTCCACCGAAACGGTAAGGAACTAAGATCGGAAGTAATTGTATATATTATTTAAAATATTAGATATTTATAAAATATTAAGATATTAAATATTCATAATTGTATAGATTAGATGTATTTTGCTCTAATAATTAAGGCTTAATTAGTAATGAGATATTTTAATTACTTTATATTTTTTTCAACGTCATCATTACGTGTAATCGTATGTTATTTTAGATTCTAACGCCGTCGAAACTGTACCTGGAATACGCATACCTGCAACATAGGCCCTTTTACCGGCAAACCTGGTTCATGGTCACTTTAGCTGCTACGTCAATTATAATCATCATCACGGTCATAGCGGTGTTATGTGTAAAGAGCAAAAGCTACAAGTACAAACGTAAGTTTCCGAACAGACTCATGTAATATATTTCAACTATGCAGAGTGTCCCATTTTAACAGACTACATTGCTCATGTATAATTATATAGAAAAAGCACAGAAGACCCTCGAGGAATCGATGGCGATGGACGGGGACGACAGACAAGAGTCGGATCTGGAGCTGTACAGGTCGCGTCAGGGTGGTGGCTGCGCCGTCAATATGAGCAGCGGCACTCTAGGCAAGAGAAGCACATTGGCTCGCAAAGCGATGCATCCGCCGCCTCCTGCGATGCTGGGAAAATCGCCTCCAAGACCGTCCCCCGCGTCTGTCGCCTACCACAGCGACGAGGAGAGTCTCAAAGGATACGACGAGAATCCCGACGACAGCAGCGTCACGGAGAAGCCCTCCGAAATTAGTTCCACGGACTCCCAGGCACGTTTGCTTCCAGATTGTGAAACGAAATTCCTAACGGGGGATATGTTTTTTTGCAGTATTTGGAGATTTTATCGATCGTAACTTTATTTTACTCCTGATTTGCCTTCGCCTGAGTTAGCGTCGCGTCCTTCATAGATTTACCCCCGACACGGTTTCGCGGACATATTTCAGTTCACTTCTTCAAAATGAGAAAGCTAAATTAAATTCAAAATTTTAATTTGCTTTGTTTGATTTCGCATTACAGGGCTCCGAGAGCGAGAACGAGAGCGTGCAGTCCGATCCACATTCCTTCGTGAATCACTACGCGAACGTGAACGACTCGTTACGACAGTCGTGGAAGCGGCAGAAACCCGTCCGGAATTATTCGTCATATACCGACTCCGAGCCGGAAGGCAGCGCGGTCGTTAGTCTGAACGGCGGTCAGATTATCATGAACAACATGGCGAGATCGAGAGCACCGTTGCCGGGCTTCTCGTCGTTCGTGTAATTAACCGAATTACTAACAATTAATTAGTAAGACACAAAGAAACACTTTTTTCTAGCGGAGAGTTTTATAGAATATTTCATCGAGGGTCTTCTTTCTATCTCTTTAACTTTCTCGCCCTCAATTCGTCAATATCAAAACTATCGCCTCGACGATCCTGCCTCGTGCGGTGGTTTTTTTTTTATATGAGTATAAAAGAAGGATAAGTTCTTTTTATTACAAAATTATATATATAATATATGTTATAATATATTATAATAATTATATATATAATGATGTATTAATATAATAATTATATAGAAAGTATGTGTATATATATATATAAACATTATATATATGTACTTTTTAATTAATTATTTACATTTTATATATTTACCTGTTACTTATTCTTCTTAACCTATTGAGTGATTTATCTGAGATATGCTGAGCACTCAAAAGGCTGACATTCTTACTCTTTTGCTGCGCGTTACACGTGAGCGGATAACAGTAGCCACAGTACACCGAGTGTACATAAGGTGAGCCTGGAGAAATTTATCATTGAAGGAATTTGAAAAATTTAAGCTATTATTTCCCAATTCTCACAAAAAGAGACGAATCGAAGCTCAAGACACCAATCAATAGAGACCTTGTCAATATATCGGATATCTGCTGAGAAAAGTTTGTGGTGCATTCCGTGACTCGCCTTATATATACGCGTAAGCGTGTAAAGCGAAAGATTCGCGTCGATGTAGATTTCTAGTAAGGTTTTAAACAGCGAGCTCGGAACGTCGAGGCATCTTCATATATTGTGATATATTGATATACATATATATATATATAAATAAATATATATATATATATATATATACAGATTATATATATATAAATATTATTTATAATTTTCTAGATAAGACATTTGCATTTAATAGACATATTTGTACTTCCTCTGAGTAATTAAGGATCAGGATAGTAGCGGCATATCGGGATCTCGTTGTGTAAGTTCCGTACCTGAGAAGCGGAACGATCCAAGTTTGGAAAGGGAAAGTAGTACCCGGGTTTTCTCTTCTTCAAGAGAAAAAAGCCAGGTCTGTGCAAACGTCGGATCGAACCTCTTTCGCTTCTCACGTATGCAATATATGATTCAGTCATCTTGCACATTCTTCTAACACGACGTTCGAACATATTTATCGTACGTATAAATGAAACACAGGTCGTAAAGAGGGGAACATTAGCGTCAGCGTACCGGCACGCAGGCGTGTGGCGAGGATATCACGGGGGGTTCTGGGAGAAAATGGGATGTCAATTTACATTCAACGTTCGTTGATCGTCAGGCCTATCGTCATATCAGTACACCGTTCACTGGTTTTTCTCGAAGGAAAGAAAAAGAAAAAAAAACGAATAACGTTGTTGTTGGAATATTACATAAACGATACGCATCCCTGCGGCAGGACACCGGGGAGACATTCTTTTACAAGGACGCACATGTAAATATTACGTGAAATACCGCGTCACCGCGCGTATTACGTTTCTAGTTTATCGCGAAAGCGTCACTGTTTCGCGCTTACGAATGATCTGCGAATTCCATCCTTGGCAGAACTTGAAGCGTAAACGGGATAGCCGATAGATATTCGCTTTTATTATCGACTGATTTATCGCAATTAATCCGTAAGAAGTGTCATGAATTTTTTAAGAAACATTTTATATTTGCATTCTTCCGCTGATTATACGCACGACTCGCGACTAAACAGCCGTTATTTTAGTTTATGGAATAGTTTTTCTGAATTTTTACTCATCCCGTGGATGTGAGAGAAAAAAATCGCGAGTGTGATTTTATTTTTATCAGTTCGACGCACAGTAATAAAGTCCTTTATTTTTTAATTTTTCCTGTGCGACGTAATCCGTGTTGGTAATTTTTTTTCTTTTTTTCTATTTTGTTAATGAAATCTATTTTACTTGGAGTTGAAACGAGTACCTAGGAAGTTTGAATCTAGTTTGCCGTAGAATCGAGAAAAGTGCCTGTTTTTTTTACTAAATGTCGAGACATGTTTTTACATGCGATTTAATTACTTCGGTTCATTTGATCTCGAGAACGGCGTTAAAATTGAGATCGCGAGATCGTGACACACACACACACACACACACATACACCGTGCGTATAATTTCATTTTCACGCTCTCATGTGTAAATACATTGTATATTTTTACTACCCGTAAGAGAAAGGGGGAAATGTAGATTTTGTACAACGCTAATACATTAGCTTAGCGCGGAGCTATCGATCGGTCGCATTCGTTTTTGTGATATACATACGCGTACGGTATTATTGTAGCCACTAACACTGAGACAGTATTCGTATCTTCTTAAACATTCTCAAACTTGTCCAAAGTCGGATATCGAACTGAAGTGCGATGTGTAGTTGCGTAACTTCGCGTTCTCCTTCTTATGCAACTGCCTCGAGCAATTAAAATCGAATTTAAGGTAAGAAGACGCGCGCGCGTGCAACAAAGAGAAGCCTAATATTAATTACCGTTTAACGAGTAAGACCGCTCTACGGATTTCGTATTCCGATAAGGTCGTGCGCGAGGAACAAGCATCCTCTCTCCGGGGGAGGGGACGCGCGCTCGAGACCGCGTTTCTTCCCGCGACACTGCCAGCGAATTCGCTTAGTGCAAATCTAATATTATTTATACGTCTGTAACACGCGCATTTGTAACGACGAGTACGAGCGTAAAAATCAGCTGTAGGTGTAAATCGACTAGGATACCTTGAAGACTTTGTTAATCTTTCAATAAAAATTTATGCCGTTCCGGAAGAATCTCTCGATCACGATCCACTTCTTTGCCTGTTTGTCGATATTCTTCCGTTGCATCGGAAAAAGTTCCCGATTTAATATATATATATATATATATTTAACAAAGTAAACGTCGCGTGGTATATTTTGTTAAGGACGGACACAGAGGTGGGATAACGTGGGTGATCAACGCTCGTTTTTCTGCAAAGAAAACAAAATAATTTATTAAAATTTCAAAACGCACTGTATGTAAAAATCTTCGATCGATGGAAGAGCGCGGATGTGCTAATGAGCCGAGGCGTTGTTCATGAAAGTCTCGTCGCAAATGTCGTACCACTCTTGAATAAATCGTGGCAATCTTCTGTTCGACGAGAACTGTTTAATCGTGGACCACGCGGCGATATCCGCGATATCGGGCTCGCCGTTCCTGCCGCTCCTCCATCGCGTTTGCTCCAGTTGTTGATAAAGCAAGAGCAACGCCTCGTCGATTCGGTCGCGGGACGTTTGATGACGCACGCGACAACAACAATCGAGAATATTATCCGTCGCGCTCACGTACGCGAGGTCGTTCCTTTCGTAATTGTGCGCCTCCAGCAGTCTGCTCAGGTATCTGAGAAAATTCACCTCGCCGATCACGGGATATCTGAGCAGGCTCGTGACCATCTCCAGGTCATTGACTGGAAGAAGATGCGAGATTTGACAGAAGAAACGGGGGAAATGAGACTGAGAGTTATCGGGTGAGAAATTTCTTTGGGGAATGTAGGAATGAAGAAAACTTCTGCTTTGATCGCTTAGCTTTCCTTGAGGTTGATAAAATGTGCGTGTGTTTCCGGCTTACCTGCTTTAAATATTACTGTTAAATTCACGACGTTATTTACATCAGGATGAGTACTGTTGGGGAAATCGATGGGCACTCGCCCAATGATAGTTGAATGAGTGTACGATTTCACAGTGATGTTAGTATCCTTCCAAAGCTTTTGCAACGCGTATATCGAGAACGGCGGCTTCCACGGGTTTACATTTAACACTAGGCTAACTTGGACTGGTACCTGCAAATTGAATGGCAAATTGCAAGGCTGCTGACAGCTTAGCGAAAAATGTAATTTATTAACTGCTTGTATCATACGCTCAACACAGCTACTTTTCTAGCTACTTTTTCTACCGAACCCAGTCAAAGGCTGAGATATGTGGTACCTGAGATCGGCAATTTCTCGCAGCCCGCATTCCACTGATTGCATTCAGTATCTTGCTGCTCATAGCTTCCTGGCCAGGTCGTTTCAAGAACTTGCACAGCGTAGAGATCTGCGCCTTGAGCTCCGCCAACTGCCTGAGTATTTCCTCCTGCCTGGTCGCTAACGTGTTGTAGTCCGGCGAGGTGCGCTAAAAGAGAAACAGTACCAATTACAATACACTCGACCCGACATTTACCGCGCGACAGTCGCATGATTTTCACGTGCTGAAGCTGAACTGTGAAATCCCATTGAAAGGTCATATTCGAAGCATCGCTCGACAGTCCACCGCGACTGAGGTTAACAAAAACGCACGCACGCTGTTTGCTACTCCGATGTCGCAATTAACCCACGGTTTCATTCTCGTCCCTTTTGACAGTTCACGTTACACACCGGGATCGCCGTTTCTCGCGAGCCGGTTAAGCTAACGCCTCTCGCCTCGCGACATACCGCTCGCCTCCGCCGCCGATTAATCGGCTTCACTCTTTTCTTCCCCCTCGTGCGCCGCCGATTTTCGTGCTGTTACATGGGAAAAAAATCTCGCGGAGAGGGGGAGAGGACAGAAGGAAGAACATCGATCAAGAAGCCCCCGACGAACGATAACGGGGGAGAGAGAGAGAGAGATAGGGCTAGTGTGCGTGAGTGTGTGAGAAAGAGAGAAAGAGAGAGAGAGGAGAGAGAGGAACCGCACACACTCCTCCGCCCGGTCGATCGCGGATCAGTGCGCTCGTGGAAATTTTCGGGAGGAGTCATGTCTCGCAGCGCGATCGCCAGCCGCGCGTTCCCGTCCGGACGGCCGTCCGCGAGTTCGCGAGCCGTACGCGCGGCCGTGCGCGCGTACGAGCGGTGTGTCGTCGGGCGTGCGTGTCGACTGCCACGTACGCAGAAACGAGTACGGAAACCTGCAGAAGGCGGATAACCTGCTCTGTGACATCGGGCATCTTGGTACCATCACACGGCGGCGGCGTCATCGTCGTCTGGCTCTCGGTCGTCTCCTCTTTCTCGTCGCGCCGATGTCGCTCGACCCCTTGGATATTTCGCATCTCGTACATGTTTTTCACGCGCGGATGCGCCTCCGTGGAGGTTACGATCGGCCGTAGCACGTACATCATCGTATCTCTTTCTCTCTCCCTCTCCCTCTCTCGTTCTTTTCGTCGCGGTCCTCGTCTCAGCGTGCGACCGTTCTCGTTCGTTCGTTCGGAGAACACGCGAGGGCACGCTCGCCGTGTGCTCCCTTCGGAAAAAGCGACGAATCCGCGTGTGTGTGCTAACGTAGCACCCCCCGCTCGCGCACTCTCGCGTGTCGGCCGCCGGTTCGTCCGCCGGCCATGCTTCCTATGCGGCGCAATATGGCGGCGCGCGAGTGGCCAGCGCCGCGGTGGCGGCCTCTGGCGCGGCGACGTGCGCACTCGGAGACGAAGCGTCCAGCAGCGCCTGGCTTGTGATTCGCTGGTAACGACCGGGGTGGCTAGAGAGAGAGAAAGAGAGAGAATCGTGCTTCGCGGATACGGCCGCACACGCACGCACGCACGTATCGTAGCGCGCTACGAGTACGCACGAGACAGCCGAGCGAGCGAGAAACGAGTGAGAGAGAAAGAGAAAGAGAGAAAGAACGAGTGAGTGAGTATGCCGGTCGTATGCTGCAACGCCGGCGAGGAAGTGATCGTGTCATTCAGCGTCAAGGCTCCGCGCGCGTCCTCGACTATCCCGCGGATCGCATCCCCGGCGCATTCCGGAACGTTCTTCGTCTCGTGAAAGTGTGGTTAGAATTGCGTTTTTTGTTCGCCCGGCCGCGCCATCTGTCGTCGCGTCAATCTGACAGAGGCGACGGCGGTCGTGCGCTCAGTTACGGTGAAGGCGATTGGAGCTCGTGTGCCTCCACGGTGGAGACGGGCGATCGGCTGTTTACAAGCGCGTACGAGCCACGAAACGTGTTCAGCGCCGTGGCGCACGTCCCTTAGCTCGCCGTGGACGATTGTCGGCGGCGTCCAGGCCGAGAAGTTCGCGAACGGCCGGCTCATCGCTCATCCTCCGTCACGTAGCTGGCTGGCGAACGGCCGACATGGCGGCGCGCCGATGAACCAATCGCAGCGCCGCTCTCACCGGCCTCAACCAACGACCGACGACGACGACTACGTCGCCATCGTGCGGCCAGAGACGCTTCCGCCGCGTCGTCACTCACTTGCCGTCGAATTCGACGGGCGGTTTTTTTCGCGCACGCTGCGCCCGAGAGATTCACGTACGAAGGTGAGCTTCCGCGACGAGACCAGCGGTAACGGTCGCCGGGCGGAGGTGCGCCCGTGCTAAGCACGCGCATACATACACACACACACACACACACGCACCACCACACGCACGGACGCGCGCGCGCGCGGAATCCCGGTCCGCGTCGCGGCCGATTGTGTTTGGTCACGTGACCGTGGGGCTACCGTGGGCCGAGAAATGGCGCAAAGATCGGAGTGCGGACACGGGATCCATTTCGTTGCCGCGGCGATGTCACTCGTGTTTGTTTACAAGCGCGCGAGCACGCGCGCCACGTGCTGAACAGTGAGGAGGCGGCGGCGAGGAGAGGCGCGGAGAGGACGGGAGAGGAGAAGAGAGTAGGGTAAAGTAGAACGGACGAGGAAATAGGCGAAGAGAGGAGAGGAGGAGAAGCGTGCGAGATCGGCAGGTAGGCTCTCCTCGGAGTAGAGAGCGAGCGAGTGAGCGAGAGAGAGAGAGTGAGAGAGATAGATAGATAGAGAGAGGGGGAGGGCGAGTGACACACGGAGGCCCCACGAGGACCGTGGGTGCTCGAGAAAGGAGGTTGGCGGCGAGCACGACCACGGGGACGACCACGTCGGCCGCAACGGACGACAACAATGACGGGGAGAGGCTCGAAGAGACGGGGGCGGCCGCCCAAGTCTGTGGTGATGGAGCGGCCGAAGAAGTTTCAGTATCACCTCATGAAGAAGCCCAAATACCTGCAGAACCGGACAGTAAGCGGTGCTGAGACACCGGGTTCGCAGCCGAGCACGCCCACGGCGTCGCGGCCGACCTCGCCATCGGTGGAGAGTGAGGAGAACAGCAACAAGCGCAGCACACGGACGCGGAAGTCGCGCAGCCAACGCGACCGGCATTCCCGCAAGGGCGGTCACAGCGGGTCTGGTGGTGGTGGTGGCGGTGCTTACCAGCGGCGTGGCTACAACCCCAATGTGGACTACGGTGACTCGGAGTATCATTACGGCTCCGACTTCGGTGACGAGTCGAGCGAGAAGAGCGAGCCCGAGGAGGAGCTGCAGAGCGACGTCGATTCCTCTGAGAGTATGGAGGAACCGGATCCGTCGAGCGACAGCGATTTCTCCCTGTCCAGTTACAGCACCACCAGCGGCACACCGCGCAAGGCTCTGCTCATCCAGCAAAGACCACCTAGTCCGGAGCCGTTGTGGCTGCAGAACCGGGATCTGCCATCGTTGATCCTGCCCAAGTCCTCCGACGACCTGCTGGTGCCCAAGGAGCTAGTGATGCCGTCGTTGTCCGTCTACGAAGTGTTCCGCCACTACCGCACCCTCGTGCGACTATCTTCCTTTCGCTTCGAGGACTTTTGCGCAGCCCTCATGTGTGAGGACCAGACCAACCTGTTGGCTGAGATTCACATCATGCTGATCAAGGCGCTACTGAGAGAAGAGGACTCGCAGCAGACCCATTTCGGGCCGTTGGATCAGAAAGACTCGGTGAACGTCAGCTTGTACTTCGTCGACTCCATGACTTGGCCGGAGGTGTTGCGCTCTTACGTGGAAAGCGACAAGAGCTACGATCAGAGTATTCTGCAAATACTCACCACCACTGAGTATCCGTTTACTGCCATTGAAGACAGAATTAAGGTTCTGCAGTTCTTGACAGATCAGTTTTTAATCACCAATCCGGTGAGGGAGGATCTGTTGCATGAAGGTATGCTGATACGTTAGTAAGTGTTGTGATGAACATGATATTGAGAAATGCTGTAATAGTTGATAGTAAATAGTGCCTAACAAGTTGCGATAGCATGATGGTTGTAACAAACACAGTTAGATCATGTTATCCCTAAGTGTAGTTGCATCAACACGGAGAGAGAGCGCTTTGTGTCCGTGCTGATGTTTGATTTGGATATTAGCACTGAGATTGTGATCATGAAATGGCCATAGTTACATAGGAAGGATTCAACCTACAAAATTGTTGAAATTTGACTACTTAGGCAGTCTGTACATCTTTCTCGATAAAACAAAAAGATCTGAGCCTTATAGGTGACTAAAAAACAATTTTTATTCTCTATTAGTTGTCCAATTTTTCACTAGTAATCTTTTTTTACCTTACCTATTTTTAATTGGTTAATTATTGAATTAAGCTTGTCAATGAATACTCTTAAAGAGAGGAAAATGGATCATGCTTGACTTCTTGAACGATTATGTGAAGAATCTCAGTGCTACTTTTGAATCATGTATCAAACTTTTATCTTCATTTTTCTCGGGACGTACTCAATCTGGATTGTATTCTTCTTGCGTAACTACGGTCAAGTGGTTTGAATTAGTTTCATTTCTGGGAATGCGATTTGGATTAACTTCACGGAATTGCGCCAAATTTTGTAGATACACGATACATATTTAGATACATACACCGACAACTAAGGGTATGTATTACAAGAGAGCAAAGTGAAAAGCACCATATTGTATTGCAGGGAGTATGCACTACGACGACCATTGTCGAGTGTGTCACCGTTTGGGTGATCTGTTGTGCTGCGAGACCTGTCCGGCGGTGTTTCACTTGGAATGCGTCGAACCACCGCTAGTGGATGTGCCCACCGAGGATTGGCAATGCAGCACGTGCAAGGCGCACAAAGTGACAGGTGTCGTGGATTGTATCCCCGACGTCGAGAAGAACGGATCGTTGTGTAGGCAGGAGCACTTAGGATTCGACAGACACGGCAGAAAGTATTGGTTTCTCGCGAGGAGAGTCTTCGTGTAAGACACATTTTGATGTTCTTTTTTCCGGGATCCTATATATATTTTAGGGGAGCACGAGTGTGGCATAGTAGACAGCGCACTGGTCTCTAAGAAGAGGTCCCGGGTTCGTTTCCCGGTAAAACCAAAATATTTCCGTACACACTCGTGTCTCCTCCCCGATGGTTTGGCAAGCCAACGAAGAGAGAGTATCTTTGCCACGAAAACGAATTTGTTGATTATTACGTTTTATTTCGCCGCGATTTATACGTTTCACGAAGCATTTTATTTATTTATTGTGATTTTACTTTTCCAGCGAGAGCGAAGATGGCGAAGTGTGGTATTACAGCACGTCGTTGCAACTGGAGGAACTGATGCTCGTGTTGGATCAGAACGAAATGGAAGTCGCGCTTTGTCGCGAGTTATCGGACTACAAGGACGAAATTGTCCGCCAAATGGACCTCACGGAATCCATCACGAATCAGTTTAAGGGAAACAAAAAGTCGTATCTGGAAGTAGAAAATGGTAAGAGCGATTTTCCTCGATCAGTCGTTATCTCTCGTGTTTCTTTCGATTGGTGGTTTATCTGTCCATTAGTGGTGCATCAAAGAGGCCACTAATAAATTTTTAATATATATCAAAATTATATTCCTACACATTTATTTCATTACTTAAATAATAAATGTTAATTTGAAACGAAGTTGAGGTAAACATATCTACACAGTATTACGAAGATATTTGTTTTTTTTTTACATTTCTTATTAATGCTATATTTATTCATCAGTTGTCTAATAGAAATACACAAATGATAGAAAGAGATATATAAGTGATTAAATATATGCATAGATTTCAAGTATTACTATAAGTCGTGAATTTTATACTGCTATATTTTCAAAACAAAATTGTTAATAATCTTGAAATTTGTTTTTATAATATCCGCATGTTACTTTTTAACACTATAATAATTCTTCATTGAAATCTTATTTTTAGTTTGAAAGATATTAAAAGTAGAAATTAAAAATAGCGTGCTAATCTCAAGGAACACATGAAAAAAAAATGTCAACTTTAGTTACAAATATTTCAGCTCTTCAATCGATCGATCTTCTTTTAATCATATAAAGTAGTGTGAGTTGGATAATATTTCAACATATAGATTCATTTTTAATTTCTTCCAGAATTTATTTATTATTTCGAGGCAACACGTTCTTAACGCACCGACTGTTACTTGCCACTGTCGACTTGTTTCAAAACCAAGTATGTTCTAAAAAAAACTTCACACTCTTTCAGGCAACATCCAGAAAATACAGAAGGAACGACATGAGAAGCAGGAGAAAGAGGAGGAAGAGAAGAAAGAGAAACAGAGGCAGGAAGCCGAGGAGATGATACGCAGGATGCACGAGGATACAGATTCCCTCGAAGGTCGCCTGGCAGCTGTGACGGAGCAACAGAAAGACTCGAAGACGCCGGCAACGGCCGATGAGTCGACTGTGCAAGTACCTGATGTGGTCAGTGAAACTGTCGAGGTTGATGCGGACACGTCGGCCTCGGTGATCATGACGCCGAGCACGGACAAGGCCGCGAAGACCAGCACTTCCACATCGTCGTCCGAAGATGTCGACGAAGAGATGTTGGAAGGTGAGGAAGGCATCACAAAGATCGGCAAGGACGGTGAGTCATGAGATATATGTATAATCAGACCGTAATAAAAGCCTGCGATAATTCGGAACGAGATGTCTGTTCGCAGTTACCGTGTAATTGCATCGCACACAGCGAAGAAACTTAAACGGTCTCTCTCTCTCTCTCTCCCTCTCTCTCTCTCTCTCTCTCTCTCTTACACGAAATGTCTTTATTCCATTCAACTTCGTCCTGACGATCAGTTGTATTTCTCTCCCACGACCAAATGCCGTTCTCTATTCCTTAGGTAAGAAACACACGATCGTGACGAGATCGAAGACTGGTTCGCTACAGCCGCGCACCTTCAACATGGACGACCTGAAACGACGCAGCACGGCGCCGTTGTCGAAGGAGGAGCTTGAGAAGCTGGACAAGAGCGCGAAGGACAACACCGCCGAGGCCGACGGTAGCACGCGGCTGACCCGGCAGAAGGCCCACCAGATCGCCTCCGGCACACATCTGTTCAAGCTGGGCATGGACAACAACTTCAAGACCTACGTGAACCAGTACAGCACGAATCCGATCGCCCTGAACAAGATGCAGCGGAACGAGGAGCGCGACAAGAAGCGTCACCTGTCGCACAAGTTCTCCCTCACGCAAGCGTCCGAATTCAAGTGGGTGGGAAGTTTGACCGGCACACGCGCCTTGTTGGTCAGCACCCTGCGTCAGACAATACTGCAGCTCGAAAGCAACATCCAGGCGCCGTTCATGCACTCGAACTGGCCGCTGCTGCGGAAACCGTGGACTTCGGCAGTCGGCGCCTGCGTGAATCCCCGCGACTTCGCGCGCGCTCTCATCGTGCTGCAGGCGTGTATCAAGTCCGTAGTGTTCGCCAGCGTCTGGCACGACCAACTTGGCCACGTGAAGCTGCAACGCGTGACCGCCACCGAGCGTGAGGAGAAGAAGCGACAGGACAAGAAGGAGAAGAAGGAGAAAGAGGACGAGGAGGAGCGCAACCGGTTGTTCAACTTCGTCAAATACACCCTCGGCCTCAAGCATCAGGTGTGGAAGCAGAAGGGCGAAGAGTACCGGGTGCACGGTCAAGGCGGCTGGCTCTGGGTGTCGGCCAGTCGTCGTTACCGCTACTCCGAGATGTCGAAGCACGGCCTGCGCGCCGGCCCGCAGAAGATCATGGTGCAGATACGCGATCAGACCGGCGTCAAGATGCTCGCGCTCGATCCGTCCACCTACGAGTTCCTCATGCGGGATTATTGCCCTTCCAACACGGAGAACAGCGTCGTGAAGCAGGAAATCAAGGACGAGAAAAAGGAGAACGGCGACGCGGGTAACGCGATCAAGCAAGAGTTCAAGGTCGACGGTATGAAAAAGGAGCCTACTGTGACCGACGACGATGCAGCGAGTTCTTCTCCAGCTGCCTCCTCCTCCTCCTCCTCGGTGCCGTCGGTGAAAACGGAACCCCAGTCGATCAAGCAAGAGACGAAGACGAATCTGCCGCGTATGTACCTCTCGATTTTCTGATATGCTCCTCTAAAGCTTCTCTTCTAAGGCTGAGTGTGCGCTGAATGAGCGAGAAGCAAGTTTCTGTTGTTTTCAATTTCAAGTATGGGGGTCACACTCACTTTTCTCACTCTTCTTCGTTTATTTAGAAATATTTTACTTTTTCTCACTTTTAAGGGAAGGAATTTCACTCTTCTCGCTTTTCTCTTGAACTTTTTCACGAAAAAGTCGATTGCAAGGAATCGTGTGTGTGTGTATTCGATAACTTGGCTTCTTTAAAGATGAAACAAAAGATTCAGAGAAGATAGAATGTAATAATATAGTGACAACGTAATGTTCATAAAGTGAAAAACTGATTTTACTTTCGAGTCGATCGATTTTCTTATAAGGCGGTTTATCAAAGAAAGTTCGTGCGTGTTTAGATGCGAACCTACGTGTTCATATTAAATACTCGCTATTCATTCATTAGTCGTTCGCTCATCCTTCAGTTTTAGCCGGTGTGAAAATCGAGAAAGTTTACACTCCGATCACCGAGTTCGACGAGCTCGACATCACCAAGGCGCTAACCACCACGGGAAGGCTGTATTACCCGAAAATTGCCAAGAAGACGAGGATCGACGATTTCTTGGCGCGTAGAACGCATTTGAAGACCTTAGAGGAGAGGAAATTGCTACAGTCTGTGAGTACACTTTGTATTTTCACGATGTGGATATCATTCGTACGTATTGCTCAAGCATCTTCTCAGTGTGAATAAAACTTGAGAAATCAAAGTGAATAATTCACTCTTGACGTAATATTATGCAAGGCCGGACCTACAATAGGTATAGTAAACCTTAAGTTGCAAGAAATTAACTAATCAGTTATTTTCCTCACGTTCGATTGTGATTGTGTTCAATTTCTTACGGCTTAAAGTTTGCTATGCCTATTTTAAGTTACGCTTATGTATACAAACGTTGTGATATACAATGTGACGTCGAAAATGAATTTCGAACTATGATTTCTCAAATTTCGCTCGTGCCAAAAATTTCTTACGTTCGACTCTCACAGGCTTTCCCTCCTTCGACATTATGATATTTCACTTTTTTTTTTAATTGGTATTTTCCTCCCCTTTTCACCAATGAAATTTTAATCAGAGAAGAAACCAGGAGAATTTTTCATAATTTATATTTATACATTGGAGCCATTAAATGCTTCATATACGAAGTTCTCCTTCATTCGAAACTATAGAAAATATTCACTTCTGTTTCAAACTTATAAATAGGCCCCTTAATATTGCCACTGAAAATCCGGAATTCTACGGACCAACTATCTCTATTAAAGTACCTTTCTTACCGGTTGCGTAAAAATCTCCTTTCACACAGGAAAAATCCAAGGAACTCGCGAGTCAAGCGTCGAGTCAGAAGGCGAGCGCCGACGGCGACACCGAGGGTGGCGACGTGGAGAATCACGCGGAGAACGCGGTCGGCGGCGGAGAAGGCACCCTGCAGGGTCTGTTGAGCGACAAGTCGTCGGCGAACAAGACCGTCGTCTCCTCGTCGACGAAGGAGATATTGCCGACGATCAACAAGCACATTCAGCAACTGCGCGCTCGGTACGCGGAGCTGTTGAAGGTCTGCAAGGACATGAGCTGTTATTCGCGCTACTGCAACATGACGCCGTCGGCGAAGAACAACGTCGCGGTGACGAAGGGCTCCGCATGCAGCTGTTACTCACCGCTGTGTATGGAGAAGGCGCGACTGAAGAGCGACATAATCGTGTTACTGCGCAAGGCGAACGCTTTGAACAACAATCAGTCCCTCGCTGTCAACACGTCGTCCTCGTCGCCGCAGAGCGTCGTGAAGACTGAGGCCGTCGAGGAGCCGAAAGACACGGTCAAGCGCGACCTGGAATCTGCGCTGGTGACTCAGTACGAGAAGAAGTTGAAGCGCTCCGTTAGTCCGCACACGAAGCTCGTCAGTCCGCTCAAGGTGAGCCCAAGCGCGGAGGACACGATGGTCGACGTGATGACCACGACGACGACCACGACCAGCAACATCTCGGTCGTTACGACGACGACGACGACGACGACGACAACGACATCGATGAAGAGCGCGAATGGCGTGGTGCAGCAGGAGCGTTCGACGACTCGCAATTCCGTCACGGTCTCCTCCACGGAGACCAACATGATCAGCGACACGACGAGCAACGGCTTGAAGACGAAGGTGATAGTGAACCGCCGGGGTAGGACCGTGCAACGGTGCGCGTACCGCAAAGAGTTGAACGCGGACGGCAGCGAGAAGATCTACACGGCTACGTCGACGCAAGGCAGGATCTACCTGAAGAAGATGGCGATGACCGAGCGGAAGAAGAAGCGCACGCCGGTCAAGTATCCTCTCTGCTCCACATTCTGCACGAAGAACAAGCATCGCAGCATACTGGTGTTGCCGCAGCACGAGCTGAGGAAGCTGTCGCGGATGGGCGGCCGTATGCCGGTGCAAGGCTTCCACCATCAGGCCAAGGCGAACCTGTCGGTCTGGCCGTACCCTTGTCCGAGGCCGCTCTTCAAGACTTGCTGGCTGTACCGCACGGTCGGCCTCAAGTCCTTGGCCGCCGCCGCGATCCAATTGCGCATACTTTGGTCGTGTCTGCGGTGGGACGACATGGCCGCCAAGCCACTCTCGTCTGACGGCAAGAGCCAAATCACCACCGACACGGAGCTCGTCACCCTCGAGATACTCGAGCATCGCCATGTCGGACAGTTCCTGGATCGCACCCAATACATGCGCCGTAAAGTTGTAATACCGCTGGAACTGCCGAAGCAGGTTCGAGGTAATTTGTCTGATTATATTAATATGATTAATTACGAGATGATGCCATTTTCATTCCGAGGTAATCTAATCAATTCCAGATATAATTGAAGATATATATGAGTATATTTTTATATATGAGAAATATATATATATATATATACTTACGTTATATATCTTTACTGTGATATATATAAAAATATAAAATTAAAAATATAATTATACGAAATACTACTACATGAAAGAAATTCATATCACACATGAAAACTTCGCAGAAGTGACGTCCATACGAAGCGGTCTGAGGAAACGAAAGCGTCCGGAATCGCCGCAGAGCACCGAGCCGCAAGTCACCGTGGAGTGGGTCGACGAGGACAAACTGGAGCTGTGGGAGATCAAGCAGTACGGCGACAGGTATATACGTCGTAGGACGGATTTTTGACGATGCGTTTGAACGTTTCATGATTTTCGAAACCGCATGCTGTTTTTGCGTCTCTAACTTTCGTGTGAAATCGTTCTCTCTCAAACATCTCCTCCTTCATCTCTACTCGCGAATTCTACACCGTCGGTCGACCTTCTCATCGAAGTTCGGTTCGCGATTTCGGATTAACGAGTGCCGAAGTGTCAAATTGTCCGTTAGTTCTCAAAAGTAAAAGAACTATTCGGTAATAATTATTTCGTGTTATTTTCTTTTTTTTTTGTTCTTATTATTTTGGTTTTCTCGGTGGTAAAATTTTCTCTCCGATCCTGTTTAATATAACTTAACGTGCAACGGTAATATATTAACTCACGATGCAACATAACATCTCTCATACCAGTATTTTGCAGATTTTATAACGAATTCGGACGAATTGAAAAACAAAACATAAGTCGAAAGTATAGGTCTCGCTTCTACCTTCCTCGAGTTTTCCATTCAAAGTACCGTTCCGTTCCGTGCGGCACGTGTCTCTGCTCACGCTTCCCAGGTTCACGCGAAGACAACGACGACGGTGTCCTCGCGCGAAACTATTGTCTTCAAGGACTTAACATTTCTGCTTGCTCCGTCTTGTTTGTTCCCTCTTTTTTCCTCCCTTCCCTCCCCTCCCCCCCTCTTTCTCCTTTATCTCTTTCTCTTTCACCAGCCGAACTAACCCTCCGCTTTGGTGTGTGTCCTGTCTCCAGGTTAGAGAAGGCTAATGCCCAGATTATTACTAGGAGTCGTTCGGGAGTGCCTCAGCCGGTAATCGTGAGCGGTAGCAGAACGTCTTCGACCACCTCGAGCACGACCGGTCTGGGCGATCAGCTTGTGAGCGGGAAAGCGACGCCGGAGGAGATCAAGGAGAAGATGGAGCAGCAGCTGCGCATGCAGCGGGCGGCTCATCAGCAGAAACGTGCCCTGGAAACCCTCAAGAGCCCCGCAAATTCAACCTCGCCGTCCGCTCAACTGGTGAAAGTTACGGCGAATTCCTCTCACGGTAAGCTCGAATGATCGTTGTCGCGACAAGTGAGAAACAGCGAGGAAGAAATGTAAGCGTTAACGTTGTATTTTATCTCTCAAACACCGAGTAAGATGAATTGTTTTAATATTCTCACTTTTTCTCTTCGCGTGTTTCAGACGGCACAGTTAAGTTGGTCTCGAAAGTCGCGATACCCGCGAGTCCAAACAGCGGGGCAAAGTCGCAGTTAACTTCTCTTCTCACCACCCCCACGCAGACCAAAATCCTCGGGACGCGGCGGATTTACATGACAAAGTGTAAGTGTCGTGCCGTTCATGCCCTTGTCCTCGAACGTGATGCGTAATTTTCAAGCTATCCATCACCTAGGAAACCGGGGATTCTCGGAGAATTTGTCTATGCCTGGAAAAATGAAGGAATTTCACTGAAAATCGGGGAATTCAACATTTTTGTCACAAGCCATATATTGTCGCATTATTCATTTGGACAAATATTTTGTGATTGAATTTTATTTAATAATATTTTCTTAACTAAGAATCATTAAAAAAATCAGAGTTTTTCGACTTAATTAATTTTAATTAATAAAGTATAGCAAGTTTTAGAGTCCTTAACATTTACTCAATGAAAGTGATTCTTAATTTTATTTTATGATTTATGAATGAAACGTTTATGAATGAAAACTATTAAGGACTTTGCACAATAAATATATTTGCGAAATATATTTGAAAATACTTGCATTTTATCTGGAATTTTTTTTTTCAATTTGAATATAAACACTTTGATTTTATACAATCTTCCTTCTTGATTTCAGCGGCTGATGGAACGACCAAAGTGGTGTCTGGCCCCACCAGCATCTTGCCGAAAACATCGCAGGGTCAGGCGTCGAATCAGCTGCAGTCTCTGATCAGAGTGGCACCAACGGGTAAGTTCACTCGAAACGTTTTCTCCGAAAGCCTCCCATCTGTTAGATTTCAATGACATGTCGATATTGCGAAATATCGTATTTAAGGTAATTGATCCGTGACAATACTGTTAGAGAGAGGTAATGATTAACACAACATGAAGAAGCTCGACAAATCTGTGCCAAATATTTATAAATATGATTTATGATGTACGGACTAAGCACATTGTAGTTGAGAGAATGTCAATCAAATTTACATAATGTTTAAAAAATCATGAAGAAATAATCGCTTTTCGTGCTTTGACGCATAAACTTTTGGCTAGGACTGCCTGTGTTAGGCATATGTTTGTGAATATATCGTACGCACCGATAAATACACGCTATTAGAGAAATAATCGTGACGTCGGGTCCTTCTATATTTTTTGCATTTTCTTATATCGATTAACAGNTAAAAAAAAAAAAAAAAAAAAAATGTCTAACCAAGAGGCAAAGGCAAATATAGCGCGTATAATATCGTATCGCCAAATCTTTACAGGTTAACTGTCATATACTTCAACTTCGTAATCGGAAATTGTGTGTACTTAACATATCAATTTCTGGACAACTAGATGGTCAGTGATCTTGTAATTTGTTATAACATTCCTACAAGTCTCTTTTATCGTCTTCTCGTTTTTCATTAAAGCCATAAAAGTAGTTTGGTTGCTAGAAACGTGATATTGCGGCAGACGTTTTCTCACCTGTGTAAATAGCGCTGCCAACTTTGACTTAGGATCTATCATAACCTTCTTCCCGTTTGCTTTACTTACCCGAGAAGTAATGAGAATGTCACACTTCCAGGTAACTCGCCGGTAGTGCAGCAGAGAGTGCAGATTCTGAGGGGGCCGGACGGCAAGTTACAGGTGCGCGGCTTGCTGCCTAGCCAGCAATTGGTTCAGATGCCAGATGGAAAGCTGCATGTGTTGAACGTAAACCCTCATGGTGGCACTCATCTCACGCAGTGCATCACGACGAATTCGACGACGCCTACGACCACCTTACAGGTAATACATTTAAGTGCTTTTCACAAATGAATGATGAAAATCGACGTATCTTGACTGTATGAGATTGATGATGGTTTGAAGTTTCATGTTTCTGTTTCCTCATGTGACACAAACTTACATGCTAAAACAACACAAACAGAAATGCATATACATCCATAGATAGTGATTCGTTTCCAATTAGATCTAGTGGAGCAACTCCGAAAGATACTCATCCTGTTCCATCTGAAAAAAATCATCACTTAAAACTGTATTAGATTATTATTGAAGATCAAGGATTCTAAATTAGAAATCGAGATCTCGTTCTTGACTCAGTTGATCGGATTCAGATTTTCAATAATCTGACAAGGTATTTACGTAAATATTCTTCTAATTAGAAGAACAGGATAGAGACATCCTTGGACACGCCTCGCTAGACCTAATGGCAATCATTCATGAGTGTAAACATATATAAACGAAATATTACAAAGTAGATAAACAAGTTGATACGAGTCAATATAACTGATACGAGTAATATTTCTCAGGCAAAGACCGTGGCTAGCACGCCCAAGACGGTATCTTCAGAAAACACCCCGACCAAGACCAGTCCGGTTAAAGCTACAACGAACTCGACGCAACAAGCGCAAACGCCACAGCAGGTGCAAGTTGTGCAGGCCGTTCAGCGCGTTAAAGGCGCGGCCGTGGCATTGGCACCTGGCACGCCGACTAACCAAGCAACGAAGAATGCCATAGTGGTCGCCAATCCCGGACAAACCGCACAGGTAATAAGTATTTCTGATTAAAAAAAAAATTGCAAAAGGAAATTATGTTGATTTTTACATATATGTATATATATGCACGCACATACACACGCGCGCCTATATCTGCATATTCTATTGTCAATTATGTGTTACAGATGATATCCACCGGCGGACAAGTGATAAGCGGCAATCAGATAGTCGTGACGAATGCGAACTTGGTGCAACAATTGGCGACTGGTAAGGCCCAGTTGACAACGATTGGCGGCCATCAGGTTGTGATACGCGGCACACCCACGGGAAATCAGATCGTTCATCTTAACTCGGCGAACAGCGGTATCATTGTGAAAGGAGCCGTTACACCCACTAAACAACAGCAAGGTCAGTTGGTTGAATTATTGAGTTAAACTCGGTACTCAATACTCGAACAATTGATATTCTTAATCTTTAATGTGACGTTAAATAGTACGGTAGAATTTTTGCAGTGAATTAATGCAAAAGTTATACTTCAGAACTATAAGCATTATCAGATATGTATGTGTACACACACTTATAAATATATGTTTCACATGTTAATACAATTAAATATTATATAAATATATAATTGTATATATTTTCGTACAGTATACTTTTATATAGCTGCTTATATCTGCATATATTACATATATTACATATATTTACAAAACATGTAACTGATAACATAACGGTGATAGCGAATGGTGGTAACGGGAGAACTATATTTTTAGTTTTGCAAACTACGCAAACTTCAACGGCGGCTCAATCAACCGCAAGCACGAACGCGAGCGCGACGACGACCACCGCGACTTCCGCCGCTTCATTGACGACGACAACAAGCCAGAATTCTGCTTCAAACACAGCTCCACCTCAGGGGAGCGTAGAGGCATCCTTGCTAGCTGGTCAGCCGCCCGGCACGGTGATCAAATGCGTGACAGCGCAAATTCAGATGACTGAGGGTCCGCGAATTGTGCTGCAAGGTCTACAGGGTGCCGAGTTTACGTCGCAACAGTTGGCTATGGTTCAGCAGCAAGTGAAACAGCAACTTCTTAAAGGTTAGTGATGGAACTTAATGAAAATATCAGTTGGAGATACTTAACAAAATGCGAAATCAAGTACAAAATTTGTTTCTTTTTAACTATTTTCGCGCTTCAAAATATACAAATGCACATTGTTGGAACAAAATGTAATTTATAACTATATATATATATATATACAATGACTATATAAATAATAACAATCGAAAGCATTGTGTAGCTTAAAAGGTAGTTCGATGCTTTGGCGTTTCTCTATGTATGTTTGTATGGATTTCAGCACATGCGACAACCGGCAAGCAAGGCGTCTTGGGCCCTACAAAAATTTATTTAGCCGTTCAGCCAGTTCAGTCATCCAACAATCAACAACAGCAACAAGCTCAGACTTCCCAAGCTTCGTCGACGGCAACTGTTGCCACGACGTCAAGTCCAAAACAACAGCAGCAACAGTCTGTAATTTGTTCACCACCTGTCACTGGTACTTATTCTCTAATTCTTTATATCTTAAATTTTCCAAAAATGACGAAATTATTTTATACACATTTATATTCAGATATACAGAGCTTCCTATACATGTGTACACACACACACACACACACACACACACACACACACACACACACACACACACACACACACACACAGAGTATACATGTATATACATATACATATATTTATTACATATATTTATAACATATAGTCATTTTATTATATTTCTCCATACTTTTTCGTATATAAAATAAGTAGTTAATTATATGTAAATGTCCTCGCGAACGTATGCGATAAATTTAATTATAGAGCAATTACCGATATTTGCGTGCAATTTTATATAATTATATATATACACAAAATTATATGTGTAAAATGTTTATAAACACATATTTCTTTCCTTGTTTAGAATCACAAGGATCCACGGAAACCATTCCAGAACTTTCCCAGGTAGTAGCGACAAAGTCGGCAGACAAACCTAAAGTAGTCGTGCAACAAGTAGGACGTGTAACGAACGCGACTGAGGATGAGACGCAAAAAGCGAGCATAGCCAATGGTCAACAACCATCGTCGCAAAAGGACGGAAACGACTCGTCGACGAATAAATTCATACTTACGCCGGACTACATTCAGCAGAGTGAGTATAAACGAAATAATACAGTGAAAATATGAAAAACACAGCGCAAAGGATATTTTTAACGCTCAATCATTGATATATATTGTTACTTCAGAGAACTACCTGTATTTTTTAAGATACGTTGTGCGCGGAAAAGATTCTCATTAAGAGTGTCCTCGACGCGATAAGATTTTTCTCTTTGTCCCTGCATCGTGAGACTTTTCTCGCAAAAAGAAACATCCTCCCCCCCTCGAGGAGCAACGCTTTCATTCATACGTTTTCTTTGAATTTCAGCGATTAAAAACGCGTTGAAACAAGAGAACCTCAATCCCGAGATAGAGGAGAAGCTGTTACAGCTGCAACGGTATCAGGAGAAGCAGATGAAAGGTAGCGGCGTGGAGAATTCGGTGGCTGGTAATCAGACTCACAACTCGCCGGCCGCGACGACGCCGCGCCCGCCGTCGCGCAAACGGCCGGCGCCCTCGAACATTCCAGCGGCGGCGACGACGGCGACGACGACGCCTACGAGCGCGCAATCGTCCGGCGACGACAAAGACGACAAAGACTGGGTGGAGACACCACCCAGGAAAAGACCGGCGCCGAAGCAAGAAAATCGCGAGACACCAAAGTAAGAATCACACGTATGTAGCGCACGCACACACACATACACACATTCGTACGCATTATATGTATTAACATTCCACTCCCGTTTGTTCTCACTATTTTATTTATATTATCGTTTTCTTGCTGTTCTCACTTCTACCTGCTCGCTTATAAGATGTGGAAAGCAGCGCAGCTTCTCTTCTAGCAATTTTTATTCCCATTTGATAATTTATAGAATTTTTATAACTAGGTATTTTTTCGTAAATTTGTAGATATCCCCCGCTTCTATCCGTGTATATTTAGGGACTTGAAACTTTTTATACTTTTGTAAATTCTTGTAGGACGTTTTATTCGATAAAAATTTGTATAGGAATTGCTGGTATGTCACATATGACAACACACGTTAATGCAGACATGTAACGTGTACAAATAATTTCTATATTTAATGTATTTGATATATGTTCTTAGATACATTCTTAGATATTTCATCTTGACATAATTTTTAATATTTAGAGTATTTTTAATATTTAGAATATTTTTAATATTTAATATTTCGTGAGAACGTGTAAAAATTCGTTTTTCACGTATCAAGCATTATCGATCTCAAGTGTTAGATATAAATGTCAAATAATGCATGAAAGAAATTGGAATTGTTTGAATTTTTTAATAAAATGGTATGTCATAAGTAAGATCGATAATTATAATGATTATTAATCAATGTTCCAACCAGTTCTCTCGAATCTATATATACCGCCTTAACAATTAAGCTTGCAAAAATTTCTCTCCTAATCACTTGGATCTCCAGTTAAACCGCGTATTCGATGTCCGCTCGGACGCGTAGACAAATTAAATGCGTAGAAAAAGAAACATCCTGAATTATAAAATTAGATAGGTAATTAAGAATTCTCATGAAGGAAACGTTTAAGAAGAAGGTAATAAAACCACAAAATTTCGCTCCTAATCACTTGGATCCTCAGTTAAACCGCATATTCGATGTCCGCTCGGACGCGTAGACAAATTAAATGCGTAGAAAAAGAAACATCCTGAATTATAAAATTAAATAGATAATTAAGAATTCTTATGAAGGAAACGTTTAAGAAGAAGGTAATAAAATCACAAAAACCTGCATGAAAGATACACTGTATCGTTATGTTTCCGTTCTGTTATGTTCCGTTTAAGTCTTTAATATCGAGCTGTCTTGAAAATATACGGGGAAAACATATAAGAAGGAAATAATAAAATGAGAAAACTTGCATGAAAGATACGCCGTATCATCGTGTTTTTATATTGGTTAAGTGTACATCAAGTTTTTCTTGAAAATATAGCAGACCAGCAATAAAGTTTATCTCGTGTTTATTCCCGTCTTATTAATACTTAGATTAGCTCTAGATAGATTGGCTCTTTCGGGTTGGAAACCTGATTATCGAATGTGCACAAAAGGTTCGAAAGGGCACGAAAGGTGAAGTTGTCCGACTAGAGTGGGAGTCCGAAGAAAAGGACTAAATTTACTAAAGGACAATAACAAGATCCGGATCGGACGGTACTCGAAGTGCAATTTTTATTAATTTATTTCAGGAGAAATAATAAAGGAATTCGTAGCATTGTGCCCGTCAAATTATCGTTCCGCTTCTATTAATCCGCACAGACAATCTTATAAGCACTGAACGAACACTGAATATGCTTTCAAGTTGAAATGACGCTCACACGTGACGTTCATGTAAGAAAAACGGAACGCGTGGATTTTGGATGGCCATGTTTAACGGGATGCGGCCACCGAACGTTCGACAATTTTTCGGACGACCGATCGTATTTCGGGAAGAAGTAACTTTTCCGAATAATTAAAAGTTGAGAGAATATAAAGAGTTTTGTGATGAAAAAAAGAAAAAAAATCATCTGGTGAAAATATTTCAGCTAATTATCGAGAAAGTCCAATGTTTACACGAATAGGTGCTTTCCTATACCATCATTCTCGACAGATGTTCGTCTAAAAACGGTCCATCAAGGATCTAATGCTTTTTTAATGGAAATCCATCAATTATTTGCGAATGAAATGTTTATGATTCTGCCATTGATGCGGATAAAGAAGAAGAGAAACGCGTGCGCGCAATATAATTATCGTGTTACGAAAAAAAAAAATATATATATATATATATAAGAGAAATATAATCTAAAAGTACGTATTTCGCGAGTGAAAAATAAACAGAGCCAGTGCGAGATTGCGTGACACACAATATGTGTAAGAATGAGTTCAAAGAGCGAACATAGAAAAAAATGAGTTTATCAATAATTTCTTCAATAAACTTAACGGGTGAGTTTCCTCCCTCTTTTTACTTTTGTTTTCTTTTTTTTTTACTTACCCGGACTAGAAACTTAATGTTCTAATCCGTCAAGTATTGATATCTTATCCATACTATGTCAGCTTTTGAGAAATTTTTCAAAAACAATAAAAAAAGATTTATCATATAACTGTCATCTGTACATTGATAAATACATCACAATGTGGTGAAAATCCTTTTTATAAGAACTTACTCACTTTTACTAGTGTACGTTATCCAAATACTATCAATTAAGGGTGATGTGATGTAATTAAAACTGCGTCAAAATTATTTTCAGGGTGCCGAAGCTGTCAGAGGCATTGGACAACGAGACGTCGCCCAAGAACCGATCTGCGAAACAGAAGGACAGCCAAGAGCAGCGAAGAAAACAGCAGGTGCATTCGCGAATGCAGGTTTTGTTGTTCCGTCACAAAGAGCTTCTCAAAAAGGACATCCTCAAAAAAAGAGCCTTGCTCGAGAAAGAGCTCCAAATCGACATACAGGTAAACGCGATTGAGAATGAAGCTCGTCGTTAAAAATGTATACAACTGTATGAAAATAATCAGCTTCTCATGGATTCGTGAAATTGTTACCTTTTTGTTTATCATCGGAGGCAACTTGATTGATACAAATTAAAGAGAAGAAGAAAATAACAGCTGCAATTATATAATTTTGAAAATAACACAATTTCCGTCCTTGTAAGGCACAGTTTTGCATAACGTCGGTGGTTTGGCTGCCGAGAGGAGACACGAGCGTGTGAACATTCTTAACTCTGCCAAGCATCGAACTCGGGATCTTTATAGCACGGCGGACTAGCGCGCAGTTTGCTATGCCCACGCTCAGGACGGGACATAATATCGCTCTAATAATCGTTGCAGAAGGACCTGTCCGCGGAGCTCGCCACCAGGACGAAGGCAGAGAGGCACAAGCAGGATGAGGTGAAGGTCGGTAGCGCGAAACGCAAGGCGAACGCTCAAGTGGCGCAACAAGTGAGCCCGTCGTCCAATCGGAGTAGCGGTGGCAGCAGCAGGCCGAAGAAGCATAAGGCGCAAGGTAACAGCGCGACGCCGCCCGGAGGTTCCTCGGCCGCCGCGACCCGCATCAAGAAGGAGAAGCTGTATTGCTTGTGCAGAACCCCCTACGACGAGACCAAGTAAGACCGAGCGAGATTTTATAGCCGAATCAGTTGAACTGACGGAAAGTTGAGAAAGGACGAAAGGTTCGGCTTTCTCTCTCTCTCTCTCTCTCTCTCTCTCTCTCTCTCTCTCTCTGAGAAGTTCTCGCTGATCGCGAGAAGATTTTATATCGCAGTGTTAACTAGAATCGACGATTCTCGTTAGGATTCCTCGCCACAAATAGCGTCTTGTCCGATGACGTCAGAAGCGAGAAAACGTACGTCCAAAATTCCTGCGAAAAATGTCTCGAGATAAATAGATACATGTCCGTGATGTGACGCTTGTGATGGGTCGAGCGCACTTGTAAAATGTCCCGAGAACTTTTATTCCAGCAGTCGATAAATAACTATAGAATTAACATGAATTAACGCTATGTAAGTAACCTTATTTTTGGTGTAATTTTTCTTCTTAACCTATTTTATTTCTCTCATTTTGTGACGTTAATATATTATTTCATAGACGTCATTTGATTTCAATGTGTTTCGCGAAAAATTTCGGGCAATACGTTTCTCCGCTTCTGACATCCCAGGAAAGAAAGATTATATATAATCATAAAATTATATATGATTACATGTGGACATATATAGACATGGACATACATATAAATTCATATATAATCATTTTTTCCCGGCATCGTCGATCAAGTTGGCTGCGTCGAGGAGACAGGATTTTTAGTTTTCGAGAATGAGTATTGTAATATGCTATAATCGAGATCCTTTTTTTTTTGTTTCTCAAGATTTTACGTGGGCTGTGATCTGTGTAATAATTGGTTCCACGGTGACTGTGTGGGCATCACAGAGGAAATGAGCAAGTCTTTGTCAGAATTCGTGTGCACCGAATGCAGACACGCGAGGGACACGCAAGAACTGTATTGCCTGTGTAAACAGCCCTACGACGAATCTCAGTAAATTGATTATATCATTAATTATACAACGCACATGCTGCAGTGGATGGTACAACCGAGAAAAAGGAGCGCTTCGAGAACGTATATTCCAAATTATGCAAAAAGAAATATGAAGACAGTGGAATAAAAAATGCTTTTCTTCTTTCATGAGGATTCTCAAATTTTATCCCGCATTTTCTGTTTATTTTTGCGTAGACGTGATCGTCTTCTCGATTGTATCACTTATTGCAAAACAGTATAGTTAATAATATACAAGGCGTAATTGGTGCAGTTATTGTGATTTACGTAATTAATTAAATTTAACGATCTGACGAATTGAAATAACATGTCGTTTTTCTCCTTGCAGATTTTACATATGCTGTGACAAATGTCAAGACTGGTTTCATGGCCGGTGCGTCGGCATTCTTCAGTCAGAGGCAGACAATATCGACGAATATGTGTGTCCAAATTGCCAACGGAATTCCTCTGTTAATTTCGCTAACATGAAGAATCTAAATGCGAAGGACCTTGACCTTTTGAAAAAATTAATCAAACAGATACAGGTATGCTGCCGATTCCTTCACTGAAACGTCGCATGCTTAACTTAAAGAATCTGACTCCAAGCCTGTTTAGCCCAACGTTTAGTTATGTGATACTTAGTGTGCACAATTTGTCTGTTTCAGGCTCATAAAAGTGCATGGCCATTTATGGAACCTGTGGATCCCAATGAAGCACCCGATTACTACAAAGTGATAAAGGAACCAATGGGTAAGTATCATATCACTTTGATTGATATCACTTTGTGTGTATGTGTGTGCGACATCAATTTTATGTGTACCAATTTAATTAATCTTATATCTCCGATGTCTTGAATCTTAATCGATTTTTCAGCTCGAAAGAAAAGACGCGAAGTAAAGACACGTTTTATTTTCCTCAACGCTTTTCCTATATCAGAAACCTGTGTAGTAATTGAACGGAATTTTGTTTTTGTGTGATATATTTATTTTTATTTATTCAATTTATATTTATTCAATCGCATATTGTAACACGCTTTTGGGAATCCGTTAGGGCTGCGATTAATTATTTTGTCGTTTCGCAGACTTGCAAACCATTGAGTTGAGGATAAATGACCGTTCATACAAGAAGTTGAGCGAATTCATCGGTGATATGACAAAGATATTCGACAATTGCCGCTACTACAATCCGAAGGAGTCGCCGTTCTTCAAGTGTGCTGAATCCCTCGAGACTTACTTCGTACATAAAATTAAGAGTCTTAGGGAGAAGTTCTCCGAGGGAAAGTAGGCCGCAACGCAAATGGGACATTGTGTGAAAAAAAAAAAGAATGAAAGAAACTGTAAAACTTCGAATCGAAGTGATGAAAATGAAATGTGCACGAGAGAGGAGGAATATTGATACATACTGATTTAGTGCAGTGCCCTTCGGTGCGGAGAACGCGGACGAAAAGAAGAGGAAGACGGACGCGTCGGTTTGTGCCAGTACACGTAGACAAATCGAGAAAAAGAAAAGGGGGAGGAAAAAGAAACTGAGACTCTTGGGATTAGACTTAAGTGTGTATTAAAAATAAGAATGCGCGTGCGCACCGGTCTCCGCTATTTATTATAGTTGTGTGAACATTCTCGCCTAACCCACACCCCACGTCCCCCCCCCCCNACCCCCCCCCCCCGCCCCCCCCCCCCCTTTTGCCCCCTCTCCCCAGCGCAACGCAAATTTCGTTTTGTGCCGTATAAAATATAGTAAACCCTTGAAACTCGCGGTTGGCGAATTCGTTAGAATAATTTGCAAATAACGAATCCGTCGGTACCGTGTCGCCGTTGGTTCTGTCTGCGAAAGATCCTTCTTTGGCCTGTCGCTAAACGGAGGACAGAAGGAAGAGACACAATGGCACGATTGAGATTTCTTGGAATAATAATTACAAAAATTTGTAATTGTTATTCGAGATTGATAATAATTGTTCTCAGTTTAGAAGTATGAATCCCTTTCATTTGTTACGCAGTGAACTGTTTTTAATATGTAAAATGAAAGAAAGGTAATATCTTGCGAAGCGGGTGATAAGAAAGGAAGAAAAGGAGAGAGGAACCAACGGTCGGGTGTGTCACTCCGAGAACTCGCTCGAGGTGATCCGAAGGAAGCAAGAAAGAAAAAAAGAAACGCTATACTTTTCGTCCTAGTTTATCCCGAGACGCGAAGAGGAAAGAAAAACAGTTCTATGTCACCGCATAGCTGTAAGACTATTTTTTAGAACACACATAATAAATAATGAATTGTACAAATTCGTTTATCTCGTGCTCACGCAACACGTACATACATTTACACTGACACTCACAAGTAACGATGATTTTTCTCTATTTACTTACGTTATTTTATTAATCGCAAATAGATTTTCTATGAAATTGTTTATAATCGATTTAGATAAACACATACAAGCGCGCGCACCACACATACACACACACACACACACACGTATACATTTAGATTGTAAGGAAGAAAGAGAGAGAAAGGGAGGGAGAAAGAGAGAGAGAGAGAGAGGTCTGCTTTGTATATATAATCACAGGCAGGTGAAAAAATAAGGAACTACGTGATTACCAAGAAAGAAGCAGTTGTAGAATTCTTTGATTTGCAAGCAAAGCAAAAATAAAAGCGATGGAAAGAAAGCAACAGAGTTTGTCTCGATGAGAGAAACGAAGATTGTTGTCTATATTTTAGCTGTATTAATAATAAATAAGATAGAATGTCGATATGATTATCTTTTTAAATTTTTTTTATTTTTCTGCAGGCTTCAGGAATGCATTTTCGTTTTGCGAGGGATTATACAAAGAATATGAGCACATTCCTTTGCATGTCAAGATTATATATATATACATATATATATATAAAGATAGGAGGATTAAACACAGGCTTACAACATAACAATACACACACAAATTTATTCATATGACATTAAATCCATTGATGAGAATTATTTTGATTTTCAATCGATAATAAATGCTCTTACATTCGTTTTAAATATATTTATTATATCTATGAAAAAAGAAACAGCGGAATGCACGTGTAAGATAATTTATTAATGTATGATATTGCACACTGCACACGCGTGTACAGTCAGAATTGAAATACTTTTTAGTGACTAAACCTAGAGATTTCTAGGGAATACGTTTCTACATGATGTACCCATACTTTGGACTCTCTAAAGAACCATCTACATTGGCAACAGTAATAAGTAAAATGCGTCTACATTGGAGAGTTTTTGCAATAACGTTTTTCAGATACGATGAACACTCAAGTGCGTTCTGTAAATTTAAGTTTAGTGAACTTTGGTTAAATTTCAATCCAATCTCGATCCTAATCCGTAGTCTGATATGGGTTTTAGCTTTATGAATTCCAAATGACGATAGAAATGACGATAAATTTGGCCTTAAGCAGAAATAACTAGATTTCAAACAGGTTTGAAACAATTATTTCCTGATATGCGTTCAGAAATCCTACTCGATCGATAGAGCAGCATTTAATGGACCAATCAAGCACTTCCGGGAGGCTGTTGGTCTGTTCTTTATAGTCGTACCGGCTGCATAGTTCAAGAAATTGACATACACATCGAAACGTACGAAACGTATGTACGAAATTCTCGATGCTCGGTGTAAATAATTTCTTGGATTAATGTAGCCAGTTCAGTTAAAAAGAACACACCATATATGTCTGTCCCGTAAATGTTGCCACGCTTCCTCTTGCACGGCACGGGCCGGTCTTTCTGTACGAGTCTCTGGATTGAAGAGACGAAAGGAAGGACCTCCTGATCGCCGTAGTAGAGGTGGAGGGGGAGGAAAGAAGGAGCATTCGTCGCGGATCAACTTTGTCGTCGTAATCGCTGGGAAAAAAAAATGGCACATCGTGCGTCTTGTCACTGGTCGACGACGTCGCCGCAAGGGTGGTGCGTTTCTACCGCGGGGAGACAAGGCGACGAGAAGACGCGGTGTTTCGACCGGTCGACGAAGAGCCGTCAAGAAGCGGCACCGTCGACACGTTAAGATCAGCACACCGGAGCGCAGCCGCAACTTGAGCCCGCAGGCGAAAGAGAGTCGAAAAACTAGGCGAGCCTAGTTGACATAACACCTTGACACAGTGACCGGTTGGTTGGCGGGCCGTGCTCGACATAAACAATCACCATGGCGAAGTACGATCGCGCAATCACCGCCTTATCTAATTAGAGTATACATTGTATACAAGATGGAGGAGGGAGCGAATGAGCGAGTGAAGGAAAGGGAACACGCATACATGATAATGCTCTGTTTACTATTTTCTCATGTCTCTTCTTTCTCTCTCTCTCTCTCTCTCTCTCTCTCTCTCCTCAGAGCTGCGCCTGTAATTTCATTCCTGTTGCGATATTCTGTCAATATTGTTTCGGCGATATACAAGCTTTCTTATATGTGCAATGTAGCTCTATGGTTTTCATCGAAGTAGGCTCACGTAGGTGTTTAAACATTTACTCAGGCTGAGAACCTTCTGTTATAGCAATTAAATTATCTATGACAGTGATTGAGTCATCTATGTAACAATTGAAAGCGATACTATTGTAAGATTCACCAGGCAGAGTAATTTTACAGAGTACAATGTGCAAACCATCAACAGAGGCATAAGAAATTTTCTAGAATCATTGCATTTCAACTTGCCTGCGTTTAGGATCCTTGATCCTTTTCAAGGAGGAGATTCGAAGCATATTGTGGTCCACAGAAAACCACTTCTGCTTCCTGCGCTATTCAAGATGTGCTCACTGAAACAATGTTGAACCAATGCTCGAGCCTCGTGATATACGCCGCTGGCAATTTTAATCTTATCTACCCCAGTGCCCCTTATCACTCACTAATAGCCCCCTAATCCCGCCGATCATTCAATCATGAATGATTCGCCTGCTGGTCTCAGTCATGTGCCAAAACTGAGACGTACGGCGAAACGTATCCTCTGCGTTGTCCCTGTGCAATTTTTTACAATGAAAAGCACTCGGATGCACTTACGGTCGCCGTCACAGTATCTGGGTAGAATAGACCTGGGTAAGCCACATGAATTTTGCAGCTAAAAAGTCCAAGTATCCCTTTCGTGGGGAGTTACATAATGACACATTGGTTTTTTGGAGCTCGACGGCTCGCCGTTTTTGCAGGCTCACTTAACTGTATCCATAATTTTAGGATCTATATTTATCTGTGCTTTATCTCCTCCAGACGTATCTCTCTCATGCACATTGTGTTTTATCGTCTTCATTGTATCTTGGATAATTTTAGTCCACTATGAAACGTTTGTTCTAAAGCAGCGCGTCTCGCTTTCCAGGGAGATGATGATAGTATTCGTTTACGACACTGCCAAGTGTTGTAAAGAGGAGGATGACCCTGCCGAGGCGGTCATGTACTTTCATCCGGCCTGGGTGTCCCTGACGCAGAGGTTGGCCCTGGCAGGGCAGTTGATGGGTGTGTATCACTTCCTGTCGACGTCGTTCTCAGCTCCACGCTCCATCACATTGCAAGGTGGCAAGTTTGTGCTGGTGAAGCTCGGCCAATACATACTGGTGAGTGTCAGTTATAAGTCGTGCTTGACTTGTTATAATGAAGAACAGAATTCGGAATAATTTTGTCTAAAGAACGCTACTTTGGGGAGATAAATTCAAAATTTGGAAAACGAGCGATTTCCCAGCGAAGACGCGAACATAAAACTTGAACGTGAGTGGGTGTAAACGATGCGATCACACGATTGATTGATTGATTGATTGTAGTAGCTACCCTATAAGCGCGTGATATTCCTAGAATATTATATGAATATTACTAAATATTAAAATAATATTCTAAGAATGTTGTGTAATATTTTTTAATATTATATCAATGTTCTATTGATGTTATACGTCCACTTCGCATAATATTTTTGGCATATTATAAAAATGTTTTTAGAATATTAAAAAAATTAAATAATAATAATATAGAAAAAAAAAATATATATATATATATGGTATACGTGCCATCAAACAATCGCTAACATTTTCTTACTTTGGGAAAACAAATAAGAATTTTAGATGCGGCTGTTAATAGCACTGTGAACTCCGCTCTGTCGTTGCAGCCGACTTCTCCATCGTTCTCACAAGACGGTTCAATAGAACGTAGAACAAACACTCTCTGCAAGACTAGTGTTCTTATTTATGCGTATTACGCATTCTCTCTCGCTCGCTCCTCCCCTCGTTTACTTTGTATCCGAGGTTGAGTTATTAGAAGTTATCTGCTGACACGATTCATTCACCGCAGTGTTTCCGCAGGGGGAAACACACGCTAATATGTTTGTCGCGTGCGGCCGCGAGAGATTAATGATCATCAATTGTTCTCCGCGCTGATTAATTTCGCAGGCGGTGGGGACCGACAGAAACATACAAGACTGGATACTCGAGAGACGCGCGGACATACTGGAGTCGTTGTTGAAGTTTTTCCACTGTGATCTCGTCAAGATACTAGAATCATTCAACAATGACCGGAACAGGTTCACCGAGAAACTGTATCAGATGTTTGAGACCTACCTGCCAATTTTGCAATACAGTGCCAATTTATTTTCGAACATTCCCGTTATTAAACTCCCGAAGGTGAGCACGAGTTCTTGTTAATTTTGAATTGCGCGAGTTTGCCCATAGTTGTATGAATAATTTAATCTGATTTTATTGAATTCTTATAATAATAGTCGATATAGAAATATTGAAAGATATGAAAAATTCTCTGTTCCACAGTGAAACTGTTTCTTTCAGAGCGCCAGCAACATATTTTTGGAGGCGATCCAAATGCTGCAACACTTTCAAGAGACAAATGGCATTTTGGGTGGAGCATTGTTCTACAATAATAAGTAATTAAAAGGAATAATATTCTTATTGGTATGGTGAATAGTATAAAAATAATATACATTATTCATAATAATATTCTTCAATATTATCATATATGAATATAAAATAATCATGTTCATGGGCAGAATTATAACGTTCTTCTATATCGCTTATAAGTATCTCTTAGTGAAGTATTAACGTCGGTTCTTATTAATTATATCCTAACGCTATTCTCTTATCAATACATCTTATCTCTGTCACTTTTCAGAATAGTTGCCACGCAGCTGGGCGCAGACTTAACGAAGCAGATTGTCATTACCGACCCTTACAGGATAAAGGTATCCTATTCCTTGTAATCAAATTTAATCTTAAATGATATATAGTTCAAGAATACGATATTATTGTTTTTAATAATAATTAAAAAAAGTGTGATATACATGATCGTATGCAAGTGATAAAGTAAACACAAGATAAATATATTTCTCACTGATATAATTATATCTATGACTGATAAATTTACTAATAAAGAAAATTTACTTTATACAATTATAATTTGCAACGAATAAGTTAATTTTTAATTTTTATCCGAAGGCTCCCGCAGAGAAGGTACCTACGGAATTCCATTTGCCAGTCGGTGTCCAGTTGCTGCAAGTGTACATAGAACGGAAGCAGCTCGAGAAACTGGTGCAAGAAGCGAACAACGAACGTTATTATCACTCGTACTTGGACACCGCGATGAGGAGGATTCCTCAACAGAGGAAGGTAAATGTGCGATGTGATAACAAGATATATGTAGTCGTAGTTGAAGTTTATTTAATTTGACTTCGTATTTTGAACGACGGTATCTTTGGTTGTGAAGATCTAATCGCGCACCATGAAACCGACTTTCGACGAAATTTCCAGAACACAGTGCTGCAGAAGGGAAGCAGCGCCAAGGAGCCGCCCGTCAGCGGCGCGTCTTCCGGCATGAAGCGGGACACGTCGCGGATCTTCACGGTGCTCGAGGAGGGCGAAGAGGGCGAGTCGGCGAATTACAACGACAGCGAGCTGGCGAAGTCGCAGTACACACCGTCGGTGCCTCCTCCGGTGAGCTACGATTCGCCACCGCCGGTCAGACGCAAGCAACAGGAGGCCAAGCAAGAGCGCGTGACCATGAAGACCGCCGTTAGTGCTACCGCGAGCTCGCTCACGCCTAGCGTGTGCGCGACGCCGTTGAAGGACGTCAACCGGGTGCTGCACGACATGGCCGTGCTCATATGCGGCGCGCCGGACGAGGACGAGAACGGCGAAGAGAGGAAGGAGAGCGATCGGAGCGAACGCAAGACGTCGACGAGTTCGTCGAAGAACCACGACGACGACGACATTCCTGACGTCGTCAAGGAGGCACTCAGGTGAACATTCAGTTTATTTAGTTGGATAGGGTTATTAAAGGATTATTATATGTAATATATCTCTCTGGGATCCAAGATTCATTTAACGTGGAAGGTTGATTCGTCCAGCATGTTTGTCCGAAGGATAATCCGATGCGTGTGTTATTGCACGTTAAACATTTGTCACACAATAACTTAAAAGATCTCGCCGCAACAGCAGTGATTAGACTTTTACAAGCTGTTATTTCTTGTCATAATTAATTCTGGATTATTATATTAGATGTAAACGCCTGAACAAGCTGAGGAACGCCACTTCGAAGGAAAGGCTGATGAAGAGGAAGGATTTCGACAGAAGGAGCGCCAGTTTGCCAGACTTGACGGCGGTCGACCCCTGCTCAGGCAGCTCTTCCAGAATTTGCCTGCCGGAACTGAGCAAAACGTAATTACCGGCATCGAAGTAATACCGATTTATAAGTGTGTCGACAAGAAAGTAACCACCGTTCTACTACAATTCTACATCGATTTATGTCAAGTGTGTTCAAATGCCGGTCTGGTTACAGGTTATCCAAATTCGATGAAGTTTCTCCGGACCGGAAGTCGGATTCACTACACCGGAAGCCGCACGGCAACGAAGGCGACCGGCGGCACTCGCGCACCATCACCGATCCTTGCTTCCCCGTGTTTCGGTACGACGGCCTGCCGGTCTCGCAATCCTTGTACGAACAGTATGTCGCCTCCCGTTACGACTATGAGCTACGCGACGATGACAGCGGCGGCGGCGGCAACGTCTACGAACGTCGCAACAATAAGTTGTCTGAAGAGCAGTTTGGTTGGGGAAAATTGGCGAACGACTTGACGAATGCAACATCGCCAGGCACGGGCAACGGTCCGGCGACGACGAATCCTCGCGAGGGTGTGAACTTTTTCTAATAATAATAATAGTAAGGAGACCTGAGACAGCCGTCCGTTGGAACACCACTCCGAGTCCGTTGCGTTTCAAAGTCAATGCTGTTTCCTACGAGATACCTGACGAAATACAATTGTCACACTCGCCGCCAGCGTTACGCATGTGCGATTGTATAAAATGCTCGGTTCGCTTATTCGAGATATTTTATGCGCGCATAATTGCAAGTATGCATTATATTGTTAAGGAAGAAAAAGGAAAATCACTTTTTCCGGAGAAATCAATTATTCAACATGTACTGATATTTTTATCAGATATTTGTGTTTGTATTTTTGTGTATACAAGTTTGAATTCGCCTCTTCGCGCATGTGTACATTTCGTTCTCACATTTCGACAGAGGCTTGGCGAAGAAAGGTGTATTTACATCACTGACTTCCTTCGGGGACACTCGTGATGTATATACAAAGTTAGAATACCCCCGTCACCTCTAAACACATCCCGCATTCAGATGAACGTATCGTAACTCGGAATACATACGTGTGTCGTTTGATCTCGCGATCGGGTTTACATATTTTATCTAGGCTTTACCTTAGCCTAGTCGGGTCACATGCAACGCATATTTTATCACCTTGTACGAATGTCTCTTTAGTACATCCGTGCAATTCGTATTTCACTTGAATCAAAAATGTTCCATCTGGACTACCAAAAATCGGAAAAACGTAGCGGGGTGTATTACGCGCCTTGTGAAATGTGTTTGGTACTCAACGACGGAATCGGAACGATGGGACAGTAAGTTCGCAGCTCCACGGGCAATATTTGGCGTTTCTTGCTGGAATCATTTGCCCAAGAGGACAAATATTCTAATTATTTGCAAGAGAGTAACGTATGTTCGAAATAAGGGATCGACAGTGACGTGATCTCGTCCCGGACCAAATTGGATGTGAGGTTTGAACTCGCCGGTTAAAAAGTTATTTGAATTTCCATGCTGTTTGTTGACTATTTTGACTCTTGCTTGAAAGACACAACGCAGGGCACTACATGGCCGAGGAACGATCTGCTCACTCACTCTGCTAGATGTAACAATAATACTAACAACAACAACAATAATAATAATAATGTCTATGTTCAGTATGCACGCCCGAGGATGGATGCGCCTACGGCCTCAACAGAAGTCAGCAGCAGCAATCCCTCGCCAGCAAGAGCAACCGAAGGTCGATGAGGTTGCCGCTGAAGCCGATAAGTCTAACGAACGAGGAGGATCATTGGGGAACGTGCAGTGGTTCGAAATCGTGCAACTTGACGTATCTACGGAAGGATGGATTGGACGGTCTGCAACTTACCCCATTGATATCGAAGCTCAGCGTACTTGCGCACGAACAACGTTGCTGGGGCCCTCGGGACAATACGCCAAACGAGAGCCGGCCGGACGCGACGGCCTGTGCAACCTTTGCCGGAATTGCGCCTGCCACAGCTTACAACCTAACGGAACACCAAGTGGAGCAGCAGCAGCAGCGTCCAACAAAGCAGCAGTACCAAGTGGAGCAGCAGCAGCAGCGTCCAACAAAGCAGCAGTACCAAGTGGAGCAGCAAGCGGAGCAGCAACGCCAAGTAGCAGAGCAACAGCAGCACCTACTGGAGCAACAGCATGTAACGGGACAGCAGTTAACAGGCCAGCAGCATCATCTAACGGGGCAGCAGCTAACAAGACAACAGCAGCATCTGCTGGAACAGCATCATCTGACGGGACAGCAACAAACGACGGGACAACAGTATCTGATGGGACAGCAGCCGCAGCAAATGACGGAGCGAGAGTTCGAGAGGATTACAAGTCGGATCAGCAAGGACGCGGGCAACAGCAACGACGACGAAACGAGCAACGACCGTTCAACGGGCCACGTGGACGAAAGAAATTCATGCGGTCAGTCCGCGAGTTTGATCCAGACGGAGCTCTTCGTTTGTGGCCAGCAGAACATAGTGCTGGTATTGCTAATGGAGAACGGTACTGCGAACAACCCCGAGCTAATACACGCCCTCGTAAGTTGCTGACCCTCTCGCTGAATCCTGATCGATTTGGTATCTCAAATATTCCGTCAAAGTAGTAAACTTGTAAAAGATCGAAGAAAAAACATACTTCGTAGAATATATATTTCTTTTTATTTTAAGAAACGTGCATTTAACAAATTTTTCAATGTAGTTTCAAAATTTACAAATGTACTTTGTCAACATTTGCAAGTATACTTTCTGCGATCTTAAGAGGTACCTTTCAAAATTTACAAATGAGCTCTTTGACACTTTTTAGATATACTTTTTAAGATTTAAAAGCGCACCTTTTGAAATTAAACAATGCGTACCTGTCAAGTTTATGATGTGTCCATTTCACGCATACTTTGTGTGCGAAATGCACAGACCGTATAAAAGCGGGGTTGCTTACACACTATGTTGTGTTGTCTAAGACACGTAAAAATCTTTCATGAATATCTCAAAATGTATAACAGCCTCGATAAATGAAAAAACCAAAAATCACACATCTTCGCGACTTTATTGGTGAATTCGTTTGACGCAGTGGCAAACCTGCGTGAGCACCCTAGGGAAGCTCGAAACGCGGCTACAGCAGTGCCTGGAGCCGCTGCCGTCTACAGACCACAAAGAACAGTACAGCATCCTGAACGTGGACCCTCAGTGGGACACCATCCAGAGAGCAGGTTTGTGGGGAATCACCGATCTAGATATCGTTTCCAGTCTTCACGACAGATTCCTGCGTTCCCGTCGCCAAAAGAATGGATCGCAATACTTAACGGAATTAATAATCAGGTAACTGATAAAATATAAAAATATCAGCCTTCTCCCACCCCCTCTCTTTCTCTGTCTTTCTCTTCCTCTCTTTCACTCTCTCTGTCATATTAGATCGTTGAAATTAATTTGACTCTGATGGAACGCAGGAAGGAGGACTCGGTGATTTACGGCAACCAGTGCGGGAGGATGGAGGTGTTCTACCAGCAGACGGTGTCGCCGAGCAGCTTCGGGTCACTGCCAACTCCAGCGGACCTGATGGGAATAGTAGCCCTCAAAGCGAAACGTAGATTGGAGAGAGATCACGGAATTGTACTGCTCTAAACGGAATTGCATATCACTTGCGGTCGCAGTGAAGTGTGCACAGCGCCGCGAGGATTGTTTTTTTAACCCTCGTGTGATGGCGACAAGGGAGGGGAGATATTTCGCACGCTGGAGAATTGATTCGCGGAGAATGTAAATCGTACAGTTATATCCGCCGACAAGGTGTACTTCGCTGCTGAATAAGGTAGTTAATAACGATAGTGTGTCCGTGTGTATCTTTCTCGATGTGTGATTCACGACTGGGGAAATTGGAGAATACGATTTTTCGAAAATTCAATTTGGAGATGTAACTTTCTTTCCTTTATTTTTCCTTGATTTCTTCGAGTGTAAACTTCATGACGACAATACGATGCGTCGTAACTGCATGAGCGTGCGCCGCTGTTTTCCTGCGTAAGAGGAAAATTTACGATCTCATATTCGGTGACGGTGTGTGCTTTTTATCACCGAACGAAACGAAATACCGCGGAAAAGAAATTACACGTGTATGTAATCATCATCACACGAGGGTTAATCAACTTCTCCATTCGATACGTTGACGCATGATACGTTTATGTTTTTTTTCTTCCCGGGTTTAGAATACATACCGTTTTTGTACATATTTTTCCACGCTTGCAGACTTAAGTGCATCGATTAAGTGCGAATTGTCCGGCATATATTGCGAGCTTGGCGAGGAAGTTCGTTCGACCGTGTCGAGATGATAATTTTAATGACCACGGTAAGGGGAGGATACGCGGCAAAAAAAAAAACGGTTTTTCTACATATGTATTTTTGTAAACACAGGATAAATTCGCAGGAAAATTGGCCACGATCGTGAACAAGAGCTTTTATATGTCGCCGAAGGGAGTCCCGGACGGCGCACTCCATGGCAGGTTTTACTTTTTATGTGAGCGCGACGAGCGCTCGTCCGGGGGGTGCGCAGTAACTTTAACAGCGCGTTTCTATCCGTCTCGAGGAATTTTCTACGATTACAGCTGATCGTCGACATCTCGAGTCAACGTGTCCCCTCATACATATGTATCCCCCGTCGTTTCCCATCGCGTAGAATAGGCATCGCAGCTTACAATTTACTTTGTATTGCGCAAGGTGTCCCAGAATCGGGACGAGGAGTGGATACGCGCACGGCCTCGTCTTCCTCTCGAGATTCCAACGCCATCTCGAATCTCGGACGTTTCTCTCGGGGAAGTTTGTCGTCTGGCGCCGATGGTTCCCTCGCAATCCTGCGAATCGAAAACGAAGCGTTCTGGAAGCGTTATTCGTAACACGATCTCTCATCGATCCAGATTCTATCCAAGGGTTCGGTCAGTGGGATTCATTGAACATTGTAATTCGAGGGGAACCGTCGAGAAACGATGATGATGTCTGTTCGTCTTGTTAGGGGGGAAAAAAACATACGAGAAAAGAGAACGAGATAAAGGTGAGATCGCGTCGGGTCTCGCGAGAATCGCGAGTCATGTCCAGTTACTGTCCACTGTCTGCTCCAATTGTCGGACACCCTGTATATAGTAGAGTCGATTATTCCTTGTACATATGTGTGCGTGTGTGTGTATGTGTGTGTCCGTGCGCGTGTGTGCATAATGAGTCAATTTTTCGTAATTTATTGCTTGCGTTTCAACGGAGCGGACGCTTCCGCGGGTTGCTTCGGCTGCTGTTTTATCAGAGCGACGCTGGCGGCAGCTGAGCGAGAGAGAACCGAATGTTCAACGGGCTACGAGAAATCCTCGAGGAACGCGAGCAAGGACGCGATTCCCAGTGCGGAATTAAGTCGAGATGCGATTATCATTTACCTGGTTTTCTTCGTACGGTAGCTTCGTCGTCGAAACGAAAAGACCGACCGTTCTTCCCGCCAGTTCGGACACCTGCGTTCAACATCGTCGTTCAATTGATCCCGCCAAATTGATCCCGAATCATCTCGACTCACTTTCGCAACGAAGGGATTCCTTCGTACCGCGCTCGCGGCTCTGGAATTTTCGCGGCCCGGCGAGTATTCGCGCGCATGCGCGCGCGCGAGAATCAGTATTCCACGATATGTCCGTGTTAAAACGCGCCGCTGCGTCCAATATTTACTAGTCGTCCGGATTGCTGCTTTCGTAGAAGCAGAGAAGAAACGAATAGCGCATCGATCGAATAATGATAATATCGAATAATTGTCGGGGCACGCGACAATCGTATCGTCGGTGGCCGGTCGTCGATTTCCGCGTGAAATACTTTGCCGCGCGCGACGTCGGGCGCGTGCTCGGCGCTTTAAATCCGTTCTTCGCCGCGTCGCGACATAAATCTTACTCTTAAAATGAAAAAAAATGTCGACGAGCTCGCGCAAAAGTCACTCGCGCGGGAGACGAGTTTTGTTGTCTTCTTTTTCCTCCTCCTCTTTTTGTTTTCTTCTTTTTCTCCCTTTCTCACTGTTTTTATCGTAGCAACGACGATACGCGAACTGCAACTGCTTATGTAAATACATACACACATATATATATATATATACATATATATACACACACACACACATATATATATATATATATATATATATACATTTATATATTGCACGGATTTCGGGGCTTTCTGGCGGGCGAGACCAAATCGCGCGCGATACGTTATCGCGCGCGATACGTTATCGCGCTCGTTCCGCCGGGATGATCTTTTTTGGCATTTTGCTTTCCGTAGATCCTTCTGGGCTTTCGTTCGAGAGACGAAGTGTAATAAAACGATTCGTTGCTTTTCGAATACCCCCACGAGTGGATTACTGTGTCTCATATCCGAAAGATCCTGCGATTTTATCCTCTTCCGTACTGTAACATTGATTTGATTTCGATTCTTATTGGAGATATATATTATTTCTCTTAAATTCTCGATGGAATAAATTTGTTAATAATCTTCGGTTTCTGAAGTAGTGACACGTGAGGATCTTTTTGATTTCGATTCTTTTGAAATCAAATATCCAATATTTCATGATTTAAAGCAGTGACATATGAATCTTCTTGGTTTAATTTCTTTTATTAGAGATTTTTTTATCTCTTTTTAATATTTGCTAGAGAAATGAAATTTTCGATATTCTGCGGTTTTTGATCAATATTGACATGCACAAATTTTCTGGTGTCAAACGAGTTGAAATATATAAGTGCAAAGCATGTGAATAGTAACACAAGCGCTGAGTGCGTAGGTAAAACGATTTTCGATTTGATTCTTTTTAGTGTCGCAAGTGGAGCAGCAGAGAGCGGATAGCTCAAGGAAGGTTCGTAGTAGCAACTATACGACCAGAAGTTCTGGAAGGCCGATCTAGACGAACTTCCCGGTCTAGCCGGTTCATTATCATACTCGTATCACGTAACGAAGCGTTTAACGTAAACAACTAGAGAAAACGGCTTTTTTTTGCCCCGATTTAATATTACAAATGCATAAATGCATTACAGGGTGTGTGCACGAGGAAAAACTATAATTTCTAATGCCGCGCGACGTAAATATGTTTTGCGAGGAGAGGTCACGGCAAAAAGTCACTTCGGTATGCGACTGCGGGAATTCAAAATTCCACGGAACGTGTCTCGCATCAAGACGTCGGAGATGTCAAGATCAGGAGCCTGGAATTTTACATCTGAATCGCGCGTTTCATTCACGCGGAGAAAAAAAGAAGTGGTTGGATCGACAAAATCGGCGGCAAACATTCGTTAAAGAAAAATCTCGTGTCCGGTGAACAAATTACGCGTCGGCGCAACAATATGTTGCACTGGTTGTAGCTGCTGAGTAAATCGCAATCGTTGAATCAATCAATAATTCATTACAACAACTATATGACTTCATATTCAACGAGCGTTGGCTTTGGCGAAAAATTTGTTCAAACAGGATTTTCTTGATTCTACCACTTTTTTCTCGGTGCAGTAACAGTAGTTTCAGAATAATTGCTTTATTCCAAGAAGCAAATTTGTTTCAATTAAAGGAATATTATTAAATCGAATCTTTTTTCTCTATATATCCGATTTTCTATATATATATATATATATAATTTTTTCTCTCATTCAATTCGTACAAATTATTTTCGAAAAACGAGAACATGATATTTTTAACAGAATTATAAAGAATTTCTTCATGTCGGAACAACCCAAGTAGCAAAATGACATAAAACGACGTCTTCATGGCGTTTCTACCAATCAATAATACGTCATTTGAAACGTTATTCGACGTCACCTTGCTTGAGGAATTTTATCTTCACACGTAAGATTATATATTTTTGCTCACATATAAGAATGATAAGATAAGATGAATCTCGAATTTATACTAATGATTTTTTTCCCACGTAGAAACAAGATCGTATAGATTCAATGTGTGAAACTGATGTAGAAAAACGAGATATTTATATGATTCTTGTTTTTATTTGTACGTGAACCTCTCGTGAACAATTATTTATTTCCTATTTCAGGTGGAATGCAAACGTCATACACCGGCAACGTGGAGAAGGCGAGCCCACCGGCCTCGCGCAAAATGTTGCTCGACATGCGTATATATGTGTCCGTGTGGGTGTATGTCACGCACGTGTATGGCACTCTGTTAATTAAAACATATCGATGTTGAGAAAAAGAATCCGACTCACGCCGTCGGATCGTGGTAATGCACGGTGGAGAACACACGCCTCCGGAGCGTGGACCAATGGCTCCGGGAGAACGGCGAGCCCACCGCGTTCATCCGCGGTATTTAAAGCGCGGCATGACGTGCGGTACGCGATGAGACTACACTCGCCCGTTCTCGGAGAATCATCGCCGAAAGTCTTCCACACGTTTATCCTTCTCGGATCCCTCCCGGAGAAGTCATCCTGATGGTAAGAACAAGAATCGACGAAAAATTCCATTTTGCCGAATCTCGCGAAAAAACATTTGTCGAAGTTATCGCATTAACATAATATTTTGTGTTCTCTCTCTCTCTCTCTGCTTCAGACTACCTACACTGATAAAGGGTCGAAGGTAAGCGTCTCGTCGTGTCTCATCATCTGGAATTAAGTTACGAGTCAGATACTATCGCGTTATGTGTGCTTACATGATGCCGCGCTTTTCAGCCAGTCGGGGGGAAGTTCCTCAGCTTCGACCATGTGAAGTTCTGGGTCGGAAATGCAAAGCAGGTATAAATTCGAATAAAAAAAAAATATATATATATATATATGATTTTAAGGGCTCTGATTGGCCCTTTTACGCGAGAGAGCCTTAATTTGTTTAATTTATAATCCAGTATTCTTACATTCAGTATTCTCTCTCGTATTAATTATATGCTCGATGAAATATACTTCGCTTCTCTGAAAAACGTAATTATGTCTTTCACAGACCGCCAGTTTCTATCGATGCCGAATGGGCTTCGAACCCTTGGGATATCGTGGCCTGGAAACCGGCTCCAGACAAACAGCCGCGCACGTTGTCAAGCAGAACAAAGTGAGTAACTGCGACTTGAATGCGAGCGTGAAACGAAGCCGCCTCTAGGAGAGTTGTTCCGAAAGTTCCAACGTGAAGATCGATGAAGTTTTGCTTATTAGCAGCTACCAACGCGCGGGATCTTCTAATGTATCTAATTACGATCGTACTTGCAGATCATATTTGTATTCGAGTCGCCCTACGAACCCGACGATGAAGTGATGTCGAGACATCTCGCCAGACACGGGGACGGAGTGCGAGATGTGGCGTTCAGCGTCGAAGATATCGACACCATAGTGAAGGTAAGCATTTTGTCTTCCTCGAAATAGCGAGAACCATTAGGAAGTACGAAGTGAGTTAGAATTATTATTGGAATTGTGAGATAAAAAGAAAAATTTCATTATACGTTAGGAGTATGAATTAAATTGATAAAAAGTATGAAATAAATTTAGAACTTTTCTTAAAGTATAATATGGACTTCGAGGAAAATTCTCTCGAAATCTGAGTTGATTTTCTCATGTAACGTTCGATGGTGGACGACAATTGTGATGGAATTCATCGAAGCTGATGTTCTTAACAATTGCAGGTTGCCAAGAAAAAGGGCGCCAAGATAGTGCGCGACATATGGGAAGAGAGCGACGAGTACGGCACTGTGAGGATGGCCACCGTGAAAACTGTAAGTGGAAAAACCTGTCGAGAGACCGTTGATACTTTCTCCCAAGATAGTACAAAGTAGACCCATCCAAGATAGTACAAGATATCCCAAAATCATCAAGAATGTGTTCGTAATGAGGAGGGTCTTCGGACATTCTCCGGCATATCCAGATTGATCTTAAGACGTTTTATGCTGTCGGTAGACCATATTGGACATTGCTAAGTGAACTTAACATCAAATATTACAATAATGAAGGACAACAAGAGCCCATTCCTTCGTTATTGTATTTTATTTGATTTTAATCAATGAGTTTTTCAATCTCATTCACACTCGAACTTAATATCTTCGTTTTTGTTTTCCAGTACGGAGACACGCTTCACACGCTCATCGACCGAACGAAATACAAAGGCTTCTTTCTCCCAGGCTTCGTGAGGACGCCGGAAGACTGTCTTCTGAAACAATTGTACGTACAAAGCGCGGTCTTGCGTAGCGCATGTCCGCTACATATCGAATTGCTCGGAGGATACGTGCGATCTCATTTTTGAGAAAAACAAACAAAAGCGACGTTTCCTTAATTAAACGGTGATCTCGTGATTCTTCGCGCAATCGGAAAATTCCTGTCTTCTTGGGTCTTCTTGGTGCCGAAAATATATGTCTCTAAGGTGGCGCAAACTTTCCACGCAACTCGGTATTCCTGCGATATCTGTTTCTCATTCTCATCGACTTAAATCCATTGCAGACCGCGGACGAATCTAAATTTCGTAGACCATGTGGTGGGTAATCAGCCCGACAAGCAGATGGAACCTGTCGCTAAATGGTATGCAAATTCCTTTATTCGTAAACACGTTTATGCTAACAAGAAGTAATAAATAATTATAGTTCTTCCTGAACTTTACGTGACGTTGTTAGTTTTGTTACGAATCATCGATAAGGTATTCTGATATGATGACACGATATTCACGGTGAAACGTATAATATGTTAAAAATGTCGTTAAGAATGGGAGGAGGGAAGGAGGAGATACATTCGTTAGTACATTGAAAGAAAGAAAATACTACATTCAGGTAAATAATTACTCCAATACTCCTTAAAAAAATATTACTTGTATAATAAAATAGTCGTATGACCACTCGCTTTTACGGGAAATTACCCTTTTTCCAACCTAAACAAACAGGATCATATTTATTTAGCCAAATGCACGCTTTCACTATTAAAACCGACAGTTGTCGCGGGTTGAAAACGGTGAAATATTTTGTAAGGGATTTTATTTTATTACACTGGCATCATTCGGAAACGTTTAACATATTAAAATAGCCGTTTATTTCATAAACAAAGTAATTTATAAAAATACTGAACTATGATATTACATATATGTATATATCATAGCTTAGTATTATTATGTCAGAATACATAGTATATAATACATAGTATATAATACAAAAGAGGTGTAAATCTGACCGGGCAATCTCCACGTAGTACGCCTTGGATAATATCAATACCGGTGATACTGCAACTCTCAAGCCTTATAAAGTCTCGAAAGGTACTCAATGAAAAAACATTTCATTAGAGGGTTTTGAAAGGCCCTCGAGGTAAGCTACGAGAATATGCAATGAAAAATGGGAATTTCCGTTTAAGAAACTGAAAGTGACCCTCGTGTGATCTTCAAACGATTCACAAAACCTTCGTACAAAACATTTTTCTCTGAAATGCTTTGTTTTCGAGATACAAATTTGTCACGCTTTAACTGACTCACCCTGTATAACAGTATAGAGAATATTTATTACGCTAGAAAAAATTTCCCTTTTTCCTACAGGTACGAGGAGTGCTTGCAATTCCATCGATTCTGGTCGGTGGACGACACGCAGCTGCACACGCAGTACTCGGCACTGCGGTCCATTGTGATGACGAATTGGGAGGAAACAGTGAAGATGCCGATCAACGAGCCCGCGCCGGGCAAGAAGCGCTCGCAGATCCAAGAGTACGTCGAGTACTACGGCGGCGCCGGCGTGCAACACATCGCCCTCAATACCAGCGATATTATTACAGCGGTGGGTATTACGATCCGACGACTTTTGTGCCGACGATGCAGTAACGCGCACATGCAATCGAACGTAGCTCGAACGCGATCTAGAAGACGTTTCGAAGACCAATCTTGCGCTCGCAATTCGTAATAGTTACTTGGGAACCGTGGAACCGTGTGGATTCCAAGCTCCAAGTAGTGAAACCTGCGGAAGCAGTTTTCACGCAGTGTCGGCAGCTTGCTAGCAGAAATTCAACAGAATCTGTTGGCAGAGTACGATGAAAGATTAATGGCAGAAACCGAGCAGGATCCGTCGTTACGTAATCATTTATCCAATAAGCAAAATGTCAGGTAGCTCCTCGTGTTCCGCCTGCTGACATAACTTGACGGCAGATTGGTGGCAGCAACTAAGCAAAATCTGCAGTATATACTCCGTTTATAAATATATTTTTACAAATATTTAATAATTAAATATAAATTATATATAATAATTTATATCTTATAGAATTATATATATATATATATATATATAATATAATTATATATTTTTAAATGGAGCATACACGTACTGCAGATCCGGTTCAGTTTTCGCCGAGCCAACCTGCTATCAAGTTATGTTAGTAGGCTCCGTCGATAGAACATGAGGAGCTTAAGGCGAACACAGATGACTACAAACCTGCCGCGATATTCTGATCGAGTCCATTGTCAATTCGCCGGAATATTTTTGCTAAAATTTTGCTTATTGTGAAGTAGGCCAAAAAATCCGAGATTAAGGAGACACTTGGTGGATTTGACGCGCTATTGGCGCATCTTGAATTGGAAAAATTCCGGAATTTTCACGCACGATATGACACAAATGTCCGTAAAACGCTCCGTTTCCGCAGATAACGCATCTGCGCGCACGAGGAATGGATTTTCTCGAAGTGCCGGACAGTTACTACGATATGCTGAGAAACCGCCTGCAGCTCAGCGGCACGAAGATCGTGGAGGATTTGGATATACTGCAGGTATGTCCCCATCGTAAACAGTGACTCGATTATCCGTTAAGCGCAACGTACGTTATCAATTATTAATATGCCGCAGAAACTGAAGATACTGATAGATTACGACGAGAACGGCTATCTCCTGCAAATCTTCACGAAAAACATGCAGGACCGGCCGACGCTGTTCCTCGAAGTCATACAGAGGCGCAATCATAATGTGAGTAATTAAGAGTCCGAGTAATTAAACTTAAAAAAAAAAATCGATCACTTAACACGTTTGCCGCTCCCACACGCAAACACACGTGTGGCGCACCCTCACCAGAGACCAGTGAGCAATATTGAAAATCCACAGTACACGCAACGTGGACCGATATATTTTCAGTTCTGTCCGCACATTTCAGAATGGTGATTACAGCTATAATAACGACCTTCAATTTAAGCGCGGCAGCGAACGTGTTAAGCTTCGATGAGAAATCGACGAGTAGCGCGTGCTTCATTTTCACGTCTTCCGTTTTTCTTTTAGGGTTTCGGTGCCGGAAACTTCCAAGCGTTGTTCGAAGCGATCGAAATGGAGCAGGCGAAACGCGGAAATTTGTAAAACACACCGATATATACTCGTTGAACTAACAAATGCGATCGATCAGCGCGAAGCCGATTTTACACGATAGCGCCACGTGCGTTGCTCGATTTCATTCATTGGTCGTTCCGTGTGTGTATAAATTCCTCGTTCGGATGGACGAATTTTCTCTAACAGCCGAATATCGGCCCAACCTGCGCTCGCCGCATCGTGCGGAAGCAGTTCTTAAGCCGATCGCGGAACGTGCAATGAACGTCGGTCACTACCAATTAATTCCGTATTCTTGTATTTAATGGCCAACAGTCGTATTACAAAAATACACAGCATTAATGTAAAATATGTTACAATACATTTTGAAGCGTATGTAATAATGCAAACTTTACCTGCCGTCGAAAATCAAACTCTCTCGACAAGGATTACCTAAGTGTACGTCCCCGTTATGTATGTGTGTATTGTGCTACGACAAATTCGCGTATATAAGGTTAACCAAGTGACATAGATTCCTTTTTGAGAAGTAACGCATATCTACGTAATATATGTACACATATATATACACACACACATGCATACATATATATATATATATGTATATTACGGAGGAGAAACAAATTGTATTGTGTGTACGTGTATGTGTGTGTATGTGAGTGTACATGATTTCATTTATCTCTCGACGTCTATTTCCCTTTTTGTCGTGGCCAAGATATAAGCGGACAGATATTCTTCATATAAAACTTGTGATATCTAGAAAGAATGAGGGTGAAAGGATGCGGGGGGGAGGGGAGGGGAGAAAGGGCAGGGGATGTGGGGGTAAATATGCGATTGTGGCGAAGAGGGAAGGGATCGATGACGACGGGTGGCTGCGCTCACTTGGCTCGATCTCTTCGGGATGTCCGTCGCACGGCAACCCCCGCCTGCCGGTGATTGGTTACCAGTCGCGGTGAACCAGCCCGATCTCTCATTGTTCACGCGGTATCATGAATGCCAAGGCGAAAGATATCGTGCTGACAGAAGTATGAGTTCCCCATCGGCTTCAGCACAAAAGTCTGTGAGAAGGCGTGCGGCGGGTCCTCGTCTGCCTGTGTACAATCGGAGAGGCTTGAACGAAAACGGACTCGACGGAAGGCAACACGTTCGCGAGAGAGTGCAGGTCCTTTTTTTAGAAAACATCCTTCATCTATTACAAAAAGAAAATACGAGAGACTACTGCACTTCTGGGAGAGAGCTTTTTTTTAAAAAAACAGTTTCAAAGCTGCTTTTAGAAAAGAAGAGAGAGAGAGAGAGAGAGAGAGAGAAAAAAAGAGCAGCCTTCGTCGTGCCGTTATGCATTTCAGAAATAAATACGAGAGCCATACGTGTAGTAAAAATAACTGCATCCAGGCTTTGGTGAAATCATTTATGAGACATCGTATTATTAGCGGCGTAACACTGAGTGTGCGATCTACAGGCCTGTTCTCGTATGTTATAACGATATCGAATTAGAACATTGTTAGCGAAACACACCGCCCACCCGTCGGTACGCGATATTAAAGTGTCTGCCGATATTAATGCTGCGGCCACTTAAGTTAATTCAGCAAGAATCGTAAGATACGAGATAACTTACGACTTAGATCGAACGTGACTCGCTGGATTTGAAGCATAGAAACGCTGTAGCTGCAGGCATTTTATTAATAACGTAAGTGCGAACCATGTTGCTGCTTGCAATCATCAGTCCCAATTTGTTCAGCAATTTAATCTTATGCTACGTTAAGTCGCTTGTTTGCGACGTTGTTTATCGAGTAACTGGCGGGTTCGGTGTCTGGGAAAAACGCGTGCTGTGTCAGTACGGGATGGAAGCGGAGAATCGCGCGACATCCGATCCAGCGGGTGAAAAATTCGTCAACGGAAGGAGGAGGGCAGAAGTCAACGCAATAACAACCAAGCTACGTTGTGCATTACGTAAACAAAAAAAAAGGGGGAAAAGAAACACCTGGATTTCTCGAGGTGTTTACGGACATCTCAAACGCTCGCAACGAAGCTCACCTATAATGCAGAGAGNGGGGGGGGGGGGGGGGGGTAGCGGAGGCAAGAGGAACAGTTTTTTCCGATACCTGGTGCCTAAACCGTGTCGTGCAATGCGAGTCTGAAGATGTCGTGCTGCACGTAAAAGCTGGTGCCGACTGGCTTCAGGACAAACGTCTGGATGTACGCATGGGGCTGATCCTCATCGGTCTGCCCAAATCACGACAACACAATCAGCGAGTGAATTCTTTCTTATCGCTTCTTTCATCCTCGAGGTAGATTCGTGTAACGAGTTGTATCGAATCACATGAAGATTATAGGATTATGGGGGGGGGGAGAGAGAGAGAGAGAGAGAGAGAGAGAGAGAGAGAGAGAGAGAGAGCTATCGAGATATCAGGGTAGAATTGCAGATATAGAATGTTATAAATAGAAACTGAGGGCTAAACTGACTCGCTCGATTAGAGATCAATTGTTTTTCTAACATAATTGCACCGGATGTATCGCGTCTAATACATCAGACTTCTTTCTCTTTCTGCAAATATATGCGTGAGACTGAAAGAAATATTAAGAATATAGGATACGCGGGAATTAAATTACTGAACTGAATTGGATTGACAATGACACCTGTTCCGGCTTGAATTTTACACAGAACCAACGTCACTCTTGACCGCGCAATACTTGACGCTACCTCGACTACAGAACGTAGCTAGATGGTTTGTGGAGATTTGCCATTTGACATTGCTCTTATAAGAGCGGTTAGTTAACCAATATTTAGCTAACCAATATGAACAGACAACTATCTAGCAGCTCTATGTTATACTAACAATTCTTTTTCTCACCTGCAGCCTTCCTAATACATTAATGAGAACTCCACCGTCAAACATAGGTTGCGAATCGATCGCTGTTATTATCCGATTTATCTTTTGGAAAGATAAGCTCTGGAAACAAAAGGAACAAGTCAATACGACAGTGTGAAACATCTTGTTGGTAATATTTCAACACTTTTAACAAATAATCTTCAGACTAAAGTGGCAGAATGTTTGACAACAGATTACAGGATGGTCCTTGGTACATCTTCTGTACAAGTGGCCGAAAAGCAAGGGTGACAAGAATATGCATCAACAGACAACGCTCGGATCGAATTGGGTAGGCATTGCTCGAGCTTACTCACAGTTAATTTCTCCATTATCTTCATGGCACCTTGTAACTGTAGACCCTCGAACGTCATAAAGGAGGTCTCCGTCTGCGAAAACAGGTTATGTTAGGCGGCACTGTTACGGCGGACGAACGGTAGGCAATGTGGAACAACGACGATCGGCACTTACATTATACATGTTTATAAGATTCGGCCTCTGTGCTGGGTCGTCGAAGAGCATGTAATACTGCTGAACGAAGCCCTTACCGATCGCCTCGTACTGCGCGTTCATCGTTACGATGCAGCGGGAACCCGAGAAATCGCTACGAGACCGTACGGTGTCCGATAGCCGATGCGCTGTGAAAAAGTAGCGTTGACACGCCGATAAATACGAGCGTGCCTCTCTGCTTCGTCCGCTCTCCTTCACGCCGCTCGCTCGCTCGCACCCTCGTCTCTCGTCGACTCGCGGTAAGTTCGTTCTATCCGGGCTACGTTCCGAAGTGTGCCGACAATACCGCTGTCCGATAGTACAGCTGCGTTCCGATATTTACCGTTTAAGCCCGCGTCAGTTCTCGATAGATTTAGTAACGTAGAAGAAATGCTGCGTTCCGATTGGTTAATCTTCAGTGTGTCACTAGATCTATGAGAAAACAAGCATCGTACGACGTAGGGACGGGCAAAATCATCGAGTGTTGAGACTTCGATGTTCACTGGTTTCTGCCTACAGGACGCGGTGATGCTTGCCGCGCGCGGCAAGCATTCTGCCGCGTTTTGCGGACGGAAGCCATAACCTAGCGTGATTTGTGTGTACTTTCTCAGAGGGCGTATCGAAAACAATCCCCTGAGAAACGCACAAGGATGGCTGTTCTCAGGTTTCCTTCTGTTCGTGTGCAGCAGCCTCCGGCATGCCCCGATGCGGTGTAGGTGCGGGTGACCGGGTTCGCTGCAACTTAAAACTCAGTCTCCCGCGAGGTGAGCGTCGCTCGATGACGACAGGATGAGCGAAGTCGCAGGGAACACGTGCCAGGAACACGCGGACGATGCGGTCACTTTGGGCACACACGTGATAATCAAGAAGCAAAGCTACAGTAAGGTGTACAAGGTGTCTAAAAACGGTATTCTGACGCTCGGTAAGGACCAGGTGGAGATGCGCGAGATCATCGGCAAGCCGTTCTGGAGCACCTTCGAGATGGTGTCGGTGCAAAACGGCAACAGAACCTTCACCCTGAAGCTGGCCGAGCAGACGGAGTCGTGGGACGACCTGAAGGGCGAGCTGAGTGGACACGACAATCGCTCGATCACGGACGACGGTATGTCGCAGAAGCTGTCGAAGGAGGAGATCCTGCAGCTGCAGGAAACCGGCAAGACCGGCAAGGAGATCATCGGCAGCCTTATAGAAAACAGCAAGTCCTTCGCCGCCAAGACCGAGTATTCCCAGGAGAAATACATCAGGAAGAAGGAGCGCAAGTACTTCAAGTTCCTGACGGTATGCCGACCCACCGTGGCCTCGCTGCACGAGGTGTACTTCAGACTGAACCACGACAAGATCGGAGGACTGCGAATGGATGCACTGGCGCAGATTTTGTCCTATAGTGATGTGCAGTCGGACGGCCTGCACATGCTGTACGACAGTGGATCCCAAGGACTGCCCGCCGCAGCAATGTTGGACAGGATAGGTGCCGGCACCAGTGGTCACCTGATCAATCTGCATCCGGGTAATATACCTCAGACCACTATCGTTCAGGCCATGAACTTTCCTCAAGAGTTGAAGGACAGGCACGTCGCGGTGAACATCTACAGCTTCCTGAGATTACACTACCAGGGCGAGTCGAGCGTGTTGGATAGCATTATCGCGTGTAAGAATACCGTTGGTAACAGAACAAAAAAGCCGGAGGACTCAATAGAGACAACTGAAAGAGCTAATGATGGAACCAACAGTGATCCGGTGTTGAATTTAGATGACGAGGATATCAAATTGGATGATAGGACAGAAACAGATGTTGCATCGGTCGCAAATGAGGAGTGTGGCAATACTTTAAAACGGAAACTCGACGAACCGGAGAACGTGGTGCCCGCGAAGAAGCCGAAGTGGTTCTTCGAGACGCAACGCGCGGTGGAGCTGTTGAAAACGTCCAAGGCTCGTGGCCTGACTGTCGTAGCCAAGGAGCATCCTTTGAATATTGTAACCGCCCTCTTGCCCTTCCTGGGCGCGTCACGACCCTTTGTTATCTTCCATGCGCATCGAGAGCCGCTGCAAGAGACTTATATAGAACTCAAGCAAAAGCGCAGTGTGATAAACCTAAGATTGTTCACGAACTTTCTGCGTTCGTATCAAGTGTTGACCGACAGGACTCACCCTAATATATTGACCAGCGATACCGGTGGTTATATTTTGACAGGATATCTAGTTGAATAACAAGAAAAGTGTACTTTAATAGATTTTGATATGATGATCCCGTCAGCGTGTACTCGTCAAATTCAAATATTAAGGAATAAGATGTACAGCCGACAGAAAGGGATAGAAATTATAGTTGAATTGAAAGATTGTAATAAAGTAAAAGCAAGAAATAAAGTTTTTTATATCATATATATATATATATATATATATCTATGAGCGCGAGCGTGGCATGGTAGACAACGCACCAGTCTGTTATAGAGGCCCCAGGTTCGATCCCCGGCAGAACCAGAAAAATTTTCATACGCTCGTAGCTCCTCTTCGGTGGTCCGGCAAACCACCAAGAGTAATCACATGCCAAGAAAACTTCTCTCCAACTGCTGTTTGGAACCGGCGTTAAACTGTAGGTCCCATATGCATGTGTACAATCTGGGTGCACACCACATGCATATGTAAAGAGAGAGAAGTAGGCCAGGGCCCGGCCTTGGACTGTTGTTGCGCCATAGTAGTAGTATATACATATATATCTATATTTATGTACTGTATGATACACAAGATGTTTCAACATTATGGAACCATCAAGCGTGAATTTAAGCTTAAAGCCTTAAATTTTCATTGTAAACCCCGCTTTAGGGTGCTATTTCATGTATCGTACGACAAGTATTGTGGAATGTGCCGATTGGTTGTCGGATAGAAAATTTCTAGGGTGTCTAGGAAAAATATTAGAGACAGCCAATTGGCATATCGGGCAAACTCGTATATGTAATACCAGTTATATACGAACGCTAGTGCCGGTCAACAGAAGATATTTCAAACCTTAAGCCTTAAGAAATTGACCAATCACAGTCAAATATAAAGAGAATAATTAAATGGCTTCTGCCCACAAGACGCTTGGCACACGGCGAAAGTTCACGCGGAAGCCAATAAACTTCTACTTCTTACCGAAAAACGGCATGTTGATTAACTACCGCACGAACTTCCGCGGCGCGGTAAGCGTTACAGTGTCCTATGGGCAAAAGCCATAACTGTAATTGGTCAATTTCTCAAGGCTTAAAATACCAATTGTGGATCGACACGTATGGAACTCGCCCTAGAAGTCTCTCTCCACCTCTCTCTCTCTCGACTTACTTTCACTCAGGATTTCGCAGACTGCGCACGTTTCGCTACTGTAGTGTAGTAATCGAAATCAGTCATCCATAGTCGTTTGTGTGGACGTACAGATCGGTCGGGTGTAGCGCGTTCGGCGAGAGAGAAGAAGAGAAAATCGAAGTAATTGGATTTTTCAATTAAAGAAATTGCGCCGCAATTGTTCACGTTATTACGGTACACGAAAAATGGCGGAGAATCTTGAGAGGCAAACACCACCGAATTTCAACGAGGAGACGAAATCTGCTGGACAGCCGTTGTCGGACTTTCTGTTGCAGCTAGAAGATTACACGCCTACGGTAATTGTTTCATATTTATTCAATAATTGTCTTTGATAAGATCATTCACTATTTGTCGTACACCTAACCTTAATGTTACATCTTACGCGTCATGAGGTCTGTTCGTTTTCGCTGCACCGCTGAACTAGTGCGATAAGTTGAAGCGAGACAAGTATATGTTTTCTCACTTCAACTTATTGCACTAGTTCAACGGTTCGGCGAAAACGAAGACCTACGGCGTCCTGTTACACAGCAGCGCCAATCCGATTCAGCGATAATCGTAGTTATATTCTGTCATTATCACTTATTATATATAAATACAAATAGAATGATACTTTTGCGGTGATAGTTCACTCCTTGAATATACCTTAAACCAGATTAGCGTTGCCATGTAATAGGACTCATTAAAGTCGTATATATAAGCTTGTATTCTGAACGCGCTTACAACAATGTTAGCACGCTAACGAGTTTACTTAGTAGTTCTGAGTATTCTATTATAAAAACGCATAATTCTCGATCTTTCCTAACAAAGTATTGTTATTATCGCATTTATAATAGAAACGATACTAAGAATGCTCATATCTCTTGTTGGTGCGTTTTAAATACGGGCCATAGTTATCATGTTAAATCGATTTTCATATAATGTTGATGTATAACAGGTACCTGATGCCATCAGTGAACATTATCTGCACACAGCTGGTTTCAACACTACTGATCCCAGGATGTGAGTATGAGACTATCATTTGTACCATGTCACTATTCTCAGTGATTGAAAATTTAATACTTTTTTGGTAATATGCTTATGTATCATTGTCATTATTTTTCGATCATGTTTCATCTTCTAGAGTACGCCTGGTATCGTTAGCAGCTCAAAAGTTCATCTCAGAAATAGCTAATGATGCACTACAGCACTGTAAAACACGTGGTGCCAATCAGAACACAAAGACGAAGGGTAAGGATCGGAGATATACCTTGACTATGGAAGATCTGACCCCAGCAGTAGCTGAATATGGTATAATAGTGAAGAAGCCGCATTACTTTGTCTGATGGGAGAAGTTCGAGCGTAATATCTTATACGTTATGTATGTATATGTGAATGAATGAATGAAGTATATATGTTCATACTTGTGTATGTATATCATATATCTTGCTAGGAATATTTTTATAAGTATTTAAGCAATATATCTGTGATGAAATAAAAAATCATATTGTATCAGTAGATTGACAATATATTATAATAGTATTAAAATATGTCATTTGGCATGATTTGTTCTCACTAATAATAGAAAATGTAGTTTACGATAGCTGTCATTGGAGTGAGTAAATATTCTGCAAGTGAGGTATACCAATAAAAGCAAATTATCAAATTTGGTTCTAAAATATATAACCTAATGACTATCCAATTGACTATCCATGACTTCACCAATTCTGGTTAATTCAACAGAATTGATCAATCACATTGATCAGTTTAATTAATAATTTCGCAGACCAGCACGATACGCAATATCGAATGAACATACTGTTTTTCCAGAAAAGTTGCATTTTGATTGGATATCGCATCGCATATTACGTTATTTTGCGGGAGCCATAATTTTCTGCAATATGATTGGTCAATTCTGTTGAGTCGATCAGTTAAGTTAATCTTAGATCACTAAAAAATCGTGTATCAGACTACGGATTGGAGATTGAGATTGAAATTTAACTAATCAAAGCGAAGTTCGTTAAACTCAAGTTTAGTGATCTAGAGTTAATTGGAGTTGATGAAAGTGACGCTCAAAATACTCTTTTGTTCGTGAGAACTACATTTCGAAGTGAAATTGCAACCGGAGGTTCAGCGGCGTAAGGGAGCGCGGCTGACCGGAAGAAAAGTAAAGAAGACCTCCGGTAGGTGGCACCGCAGACCCACCTAACGCAAAGGCAAGGCGCGACTGTGATTGGCGAAAACCTGCGTCGTCTTGCCGCACGTTAATCAGATCAAGCCTTTCATAATATTTTCGTTCGTTTTGCGTTATTCTTTTAGAGTATTTGTAATCCATATTTTTATTTGTTGATCTCATTATCATTTACCGCGCTAGTATTTTTTAGTTTTAATAAATAGAGTTTAGTTATTCGCTTCTAAGAATACGTGCTTCATTTTTCGTGCCTTCCTTTTTTCATACTGTCTGAGGCGGGTGTCCTACGATTCGAGCATCTCTTCGGAGACGACAGCGCTGCCGGGGAGAAAAATCCCTCCGCACACCAACCACTATACGGCATATCTGGGGAGACTTGGCCGATCCAGCTTCCTAGGCTGAGAGTTTGGGCGGAACTTTAAAAACGCCCTGATGACCGTGTATGGGCAGCGGGATCCTTGGAAAAGTGAACTTCTAGATGTTCGGCGCGGCGTGGACGGTTTAGCATCGATTTATCTACTTATTTAGTGACACCCGGTCACAAAATGCAACTTCACCCTAGAGATGCTATTCTATGTCACCGCGTCGATATCGCCGCGTCGGTCCTGAGTAGTGTTTGGATTCAGTTTTCATGCTCCTGTTTATGTTAGCAGCGGGACGCCTTATCGCATTGAGAGATTACGGTTTCTCTTGTCTATAGTCGATCCATCGATTTTAAGACTCTCTAACGACACGCAGTGTCGTTTCTTCGGCGTTATAATTTTAATTATAATATTTAACGCGCGTGAATATACATATGCGCACGTACTTACATCTAGTAACATAGGGATAAAAT